AATGAAATGAGATACAAGGTGTTGTTGGTTGAATGGATGATTGGATAGGGGAGGGAGGGATAGAATTCAAATGTTCGCAATGACTAGAAGGTAGATGTGTGGATTTGTCGTCATTGTGCTCTATTTCGCTCGTGTTTGTGTTGTTCTGTTACACTTTCCGTCCACCTACATGCTTGTTTTTCTATTCCTTACTGGAATTTAGCGGAAGTAAACAGAAATTGTGCGTAGATCTACATATGGAAATATGTCTAAAAATGTTCGTATATGTACTGGCCTTCCAGTTGGGTATGATGAGGAAAGTGTCACAAATAATCAGTTCAATCATGAATATCCGCAGGGAATTCTATTCCCACGAATGGCGTTTTCTCGTAAGATCATTCTTTCAATCAATAATAATTTGCGAATATGGCAACGCTAATGGGACCTTTTCGTACCTTACATATCCTATTTTTATGCAGATTGGAGTAAATTTGTAGAGTTTCAAAATTATTATTATTATTATTTTGACCCGTTGATGGGGAGGTACAAGAAAAAGTGGACCAATATATTCCATCTTCATGTGTTGATAGAAATATTGGAATGTGCCAAATTTAAGAGAAATCGGATGCACATTTCTCGTTTCATGAGCTTCATAATTATTTAAAATTTCGGCCCGCTGAGTGGGAGGTATCAGAAGAAGTGGAAAAATGTGAGGAAAGTCGGTTTTTTAATTTTTATATGATTTTTCATTATTCAAAATTTTGACTCTGTGGGGGAGGTACCCGAAATAGTGGACCGATATTGTCTATTTTCACACCTGGCCTAGTACTGATGCAAATATAAGGATGTGCAAAGTTGGAGCAAAATCAGATTGTCCTTTCTCTTTCTGTGCAGTAAATTATTTTCTTTGAAAACGTTAAAATTTTGTGTGGGAAGTACCAGAAGGAGTGGTACTGTCCATCTCCGGACTCGATTTAAGTTTAATAATAATATTCCGATGTACCAAGTTTGGACCAAATCGGATACTCCCTTCGAGAGTTATAGCGCGCACCAGCCAGCTAGACAGACGGACGAAAATTGCTTGATCGACTTCAAATGTCGTGAAACGGGCCTGGGACATAGAGTATAAAACCGTTATTTCTATAAGGCACGTTTTGGCAGTATCAAGTGATATAGATCCTCTCTAGCCCTATGTCTGAGGGTATAAAAAAATATTGGTTAAATAACGGAGCCATGCGGTAGAGCCATTCGGACAAGTTTTTGCAAAGTTTCAGTTTTAAATGTGAATGTCGACACCCTTACGAGGATGTTTAAGAAAATATAGGTTCTACCTAGGCGAAAACTGAGTCAGACACACTTACCATGTTTGTCAAATTGACATCCATGCAGCGTCAACATAGGCCCAAGTGAGTTGTGTTTTTGGTCATCTTTGGAGTACTAAACTCTCCATCGCCGCTCCAATGACCCGTCCGATTAGAATCAGGATTATTATACCCTCAGCCATATGGCTAGAGAGAGTATATATCACATGAAACGGCCAAAACATGTCTCATCGAAATAATTTTTTTAGACCCTAGGTCTCTTTGGACCAAATCCGCTTCAGGACATTTGGAGTCGATCTAGCGATGTATATCCGTCTGTCTGTCTGGCTGGCTGTTGCGCACGAAAACTCTCGAAGGGAGTATACGATTTTATCCAAACTCGGTACATGGTAATATTATTGTCAAATTTAGATCGAGTTCGGAGATGGGCAATATCCACTCCTCCTCGTACCGCCAGCACAAAATTTCAACATTTTCAAAGAAAATAATTTAATGCACAAAAAGAGAAAGGAAGGAACTTTGCAAATCTTAATATTTGCATAAGTGCTAGGTCAGGTGTGAAAATGGACAATTTCGGCCCACTCCATCAAGTACCTCCCCCACAAAGGTTCAACATTTTGAATAATTATAACTCTTATAAAATGTGATGTAAGATTGTCTTCAAATTACACATATCGCAATATTTTTATAAACCCAAGGTCTGGTGTGAAATTGGTATATATCGGTCCATTCCTTCTGGTACCTCCCACACAAAGGGTCAACATTTGGAATATTCATGAAGCTCATAAAACACGAAATGAACATCCAATTCCATTCAGTCTTGGCACATCTCAATATTTCCATCGACACAAGATCTGTTTTACAGATTGTAGATTTTGGATCATTTCTTCTGGTACCTCCCCCACAAAGGGTCAAAATTTGGAATAACCAAAACGATCATAAAATCCGAAACAAGCATCCGGTTCTCTTCAAATTAAACACATCACAATATTTTTATAAACCCAAGGTCTGGTATAGAATTGGGATTTATCGGTTCACTCCTTCTGATACCTCCATCACAAAAGGTCAAAATTTTCAGTACCAAGAAGCTCAATAAACACGACATTAACATCCGATTCCATTCAGACTTGGTACATCTCAATATTTCCATCAACATAAGATCTGTTATAAAGATGTACAGATCGGACCATTTCTTCTGGTACCTCACCCACATAGACTTCAAGATTCTTGAAAAACAAAAAGCTCAAAGGAAGCGACATAAGCATTCAAATCTCTTTAAATATCACACATCCAAATATTTTTGCTAAGGCAAGTTCTGTTGTGAAGCTGATATATATCATCCAACCCCAAGTTATGACAGATATAAGTATTGAAAATTGTGACCCTTTGTGAGTGAGGTACCAGAACTCACAAAGGGTCACAATTTTCAATACTTATATCTGTCATAACATGCGAAACAAGTCGGCGATTCTTTACAACTGACTATATTTAAATACCAGAAATCTATATTTCAATAACCAGAAATCTGATATGAATATGTAATGTATCGAAATTTATGATTTGGCATAAAACTGGATAATATATACAATATTTTTATCTCTATTAGATGAAGTATGAAAATGGAATACTTCGGTCCGCTATATCTGTTACTTCACGCATATTTCCACATTTTCCAAACAGTTGCACATATTTCATATAAAGTATAGGAAGTAGTCGATATAGTCCAAATCTGGCACGTTTTAATATTTTTATCAGTGTTAAGTCAAATACGAATTGGTTCGGAACCTCGCTCATAAAGGGTCAACAGTTCGAATAATCATAAATTAAGGCTGGGGGTATAAATCTGTAGGCAAAACCTATTGATACTATTTTACTTGTTTTTTTTCTTCTTCTTTTCTTTCGATGCATTGTTCCACTGTCCTCAAACATATACTTATATTGTTGACAATTTTATGTTCGACGAAACAAAGCCAGTCAAAGACAACAGCAGCACTTCACCACTCAATCAGACGTTACCCAAAACGCCAACGTACAAATTCAAATAAGTCTCAAATTGAAATAATGGAACAATAATTTCTACACTTGTATTCGACGAGCCGTACTTATTTGGACAAGCCACAAAAATTCTTAGATTTTTTGCTTTTGTTTTCGAAATATGTACAATAATAATAAATGGTATTTTCTTAATTGCTAGTTTCATTTTTCGTTGATTTTATTTGTTTTAATTGCACAAAAATTATAAATCGATAAAATGTATTAATTCCAGGAATGGTTTAATCTGTGGCGTTCGCATTCTTTTGTTAGATTTTTTTTTTATTGGGAAATGTGAAAATTATTAATGCAAAAGAATCGAAAATAACCAATTAAGTATTAAAAAAAAGATGGCTAAGAATATTTGAAATGTGGGTGAATTCTTGGGGATATAATTTACATTGACTTGGATAGAAAAGAAAGCATTCTATTTTGAACCGAATAACTTCGTCAGGTTGATTTTCTGTTTCTCAAAAACTACATTTGTTCATAATTTTTCTTCTTTTTCTGTTTCATATTTCCGTAATGGGTTTACTGGAAATTAGAATTTCTAATTTTTTTTCTAAAAATTATATAGTTGTTGCAAAAACAACGTTTATTTATTAGTGGCGAAAAATGTGATAATGTTTACCAGGAGGCAAGGCAGGTGGTACTCCTGGTTTCGGACATAGCCACCAATCCTTATCAGTTCCCTTTGTTTTGTCTGGGAATATTCTCACCAAGAATTTTATTTAAAATAACTCCTACGACAAGAGCTTTTTTACCCAAGTGACGAGATCGTAAGCTCAATAGAAGAGGAACTTATGAATTAAATTAAACGTACGATCTCGTCACTTAGGTAAAAAAAGCTCTTGTCGTAGGAGTTTTTTTTTAAATAACTCCTGGGGTGAATATCCCCAGACTAAAACCGAAGGAACTGATGAGGATTGGTGTCTTTTCCGAAACCATGATATTTCCTTTTTACCAGGGGGTAAGGTAAACATTTCCATATTTCTCCACAAATAAATAAACTTTGTTTTTATGAAAGCAATAATTATGGAATAAAGCCTATTTTGGAACAACAAATTTCCACGGTATTCCGAACCAAATACCAACAATGTTCTAAAAAGTGTATATATATTTTTGTTGGTTCTGAAAAATGTTTCTTTACAGGAACGGCACGTACAGGGAACTGTAGAATACTTTCCTTTATACATTTGTTCCTAGAGGTTAAACAACAAAACATTTCGACACGTTTTGCGGTGGGTTATTGGCCCATCATAGAAATTCGCATATGCATTGGTCCAATGATTTACGCATAACTGGAAATTCCAAAAATTGGTTCTCTCGTATCCACTATTGTCGTATCTAAAATGCCTGATGGTGAAATTATGGGAACCTATTTTCTTTGTACAATTTTTCTTTAGGTATTGCTTTTTTCAGAAGATTTTGTAGAACAAGATTGAGTCACACCGCTTAGAAATATCGGGTGTTTCTTTTGAAAGGCCCGGTAAACTGTTCAGATGCCTCTATTTTGTTAACCCAACTATCTAGATTTTTTGAGAGAAAACTTTCAAATGCCCTTTCAAAAAAGTCTTTTTTCTGATGATAATTTTAAATTATATTTATTTGAGTGTATACGTAAAACTAACATGAAAACATTAAAAAATAAATGTAAAATACGATGTGTGAGTGTGTGTGATTTTTTGGAAAATAAAAAGGACATTGAGAAGAAATCCCCAATTAAATTTATTATGCATGAGATAAGACATTGTTGTAGTTGTAGAGTGTGTGTGTGAAAAGTTGCCGAAAATGAAACTAAAAATTGAATCGGACAATAAAAGATTGGAGTTGATGAAATGATGAGATATGCTAAAGCTACAGGTGTTTTGTTTTTTTCTTTTGTTTGTTTAGAAAATCAGAGAAATAAAATAACGCACACGAAAGGTTTCATTGACAGCGCGCACTTTTCTAGGTGTCGAATGGAGTTCTGTTTGTTCGTCCTTTTCAATCGGAGAGTAAAAAACTCATAATCGCTTCAGCATACGTTTCTTTTCCTTGATTAATTTCTCTTTCTTTTTGTCCTGTAGTTTCTTGTCAACGGCATGTTTCTTTGAACTCGGTTCATCATCATCCTTGGCATCGGTAGATTTGGCTGTCTGTAAATTGAGAGATTAAATGAAATAAATAATTTGTGATCACAAAATTCTGTTATAAAAATATACTTCACCTGTGCATGAATTTCAGTCATCATTTTGGCTCTTTGTGAGTAATCGTCGTAACGTTCGAGCAGTAGTTTTCCTGCCTCTTCATTTAGAGCCGATTCGGGATTTGGAACAATAAGAAGGCATTTTATGGTCAGTAGTATGTGTTTGATGCCCAAATCAGGTTTCCAATCCTTTTTCAATGTGTTAACACAAATCTCACCGTTTGCGGCCACATTCGGATGGAAAATTTTCGTAATGAAGAAGGCTTTTGGTGGTGCTTGTGGGAAATCTTTGCCCAATGTTAGTTTAACACGGAATAAACCACCGGCATAGGGAGTGCCAGCTGGACCTTCTATTAGAGCCTGAATATCGGTTACATCTGCATCATTTATTTGTATTTTAATACCCTCCAGGGGTGTTTCCACCATACTTTGCATTTCTTTCATGACTTGGCGGATGGTTTGTGGAGATAGGTTTTCAACATTGGAGATCTGAAAGAAAATAAAGAAAGCTCAATGTTAAGAACTTGGTTTACAAGGATATAAAACATTCGCAAAAGACAATTAGACCTGAGATATCAGTATATTTTACCGCAAAAATGGTATCTTAAAAGATAAATCTACCACAGGGCTATCAAAAGGCATTGAAGTGAAATAATTAAGGTTTCCTGCTAGTCCTGGCTTTGCATGAAATAAATTTCGGGCTTTTTCTGTATTTGATTAAGTACTTCCGTAAGATCAGAACTGAGCGCTAAAAATCATTGTCGCATTTAACAAACCTAAACAACAAACCCTCATGAACACAATTTTAATATTGAACGTACATAGAGATGTGAAAGGGATGTCTTGCCACGTGAGTTGTTGGGATGGAAAATTCTGGAAGCTTTAAGGAAGTGGGTAAACGCTCTACACCCCTAGAAAACTAATATAATTGAAAAACGGCATGGGGGTTCTTCAAACAAACGAATTAAAATTCCTGCTAATATGTCTCGATTAAAGATTAACCCCTTCCTCAAACATGAAACCCTAAGCATCACAAATTTCTATACTCGCTTCTAAGAAATAAAACGAAATCTCTTATATGAAATTCTGAAAACTTACCGAACTCATATTGACTTATTTTTCCTTGCTAGATTTCCTCACCGAAAAAAAAAACAAAATAGAAGAAACACAATTCGTTTGTTCGTTAACAAGGCGAAATTTCAAAAGCGTCTTCTCCTTGCTGCAACTGATGTACTGGTGTATGTATTGTGTGTTGTGGTTTGCTTGGTTTTTTTTTTTGTACTTTTCTGCTTCTCCTTTCTCTATCGTTGATTATTCTTGACTATTGCAATTTCTTTGGTGTTGTTGTCGTTGGTTTTGGAAATGGAAATATTTTTGAAAATGATGTTGTTGGTATTTAAACGATAGAAATTTGTTTAACGAAATGAAAAAAATAATTTATTTTCTCCTTGAAAAAACGCAAACAATTGCAACTGGAACTTTTTCAACACAACGACGACACTAGGGAGGTGCAAGTAGAGTTTCGGCCAAACGATTTGTTGTGTTAGTGAATAATCGAGTTATCGATTGTCTATCGAATGCAATGCTTAATGCTATGTTCTCATTGCACTTTCAATCACATTGTTCGCTCTCAGAATTAGGTACACGAATTTACCCTTTCAAACGGCACTATTCGTAATTCATAGTAACATAATTCCTTTCATCAAATTTTTTGCTTGTTGATTTTAAAGGGAATTTGTACTGAAGTACATGAAATCATGTACTATGTATGAAATTAGCATTAATAATATTAGAAGAAATTATTGTTTTTCCTCCAAAGATTTATTGTATCTTTCATTTAACAATTTTCATTCATGTTTTGAACTTTTTGTATAAATGTTGACATATTACAAATATTTTCGTATTTTACTGTTTTTTAAATTCGGTTGGAAAGTCTTTTGTTTCTAGTTTTCGGTCGAATCTTCAACTCTTGGACAAAAAGCATACCTGGGATGAGAGAGAAGACAAAAAATGAACATACGCCATTCAACATTATATCTTCCATTCATGGTACAATAAATACAAGGTAGGCTAACTTTGAAAAAATTGCAAGTATAGAGGTTTACCTGTTTGGCTTGTAATGTCATAATTACTAACAAAACAATAAAAAAAGCAAACAACTTGTTCATTGATTTTGACTAAATAAATTAAAACCGCGAAAACTGAATGAAAGGTCAAAATTTCTTTTCAAAATCATGAGCTATATATCTCTTATGGTTTATTTCGCGACAAAAACTGATTTTGTCGATGCATAAGTCGCAATAAGCATTTTGAAAACACCCGAATTTAAATATTTTCTGGACATTTTTTATTATTGAAAAGAATACGCACATATAAACAAATGAAGTTGACATATTAAGCCAGAAAAATAAAAAAATTAAAAGCATATGGTAGTTCTGCCCTACCTTAAATTCATTGTACCATGCTTCCATTCATATTTTTCAGTCTTCCTGAAAAATTTTAAAATTTATTAAATTTTTCTATTTTGAATTTTGAAATGTCATAATTTATTTTTTCGATGAATACCTAGGATGTAATCAGTCAAATACCATGGTGTAAAGATACACGTTTATAATGTCGGTAGTGTTACCAGCGCATTGAAATTATCATATTTTCGTTACACGATAGGTAAACACCAACTGATAGATATCTATAACTTGAAATTACAGGCATAATTGAAGTATTGGTGTGTTTGGTATTTTCCTCTTGAAAGGTAAAGCTGGAAGAGAGTGTCACAAATGGCATGAGCTTATGTGACACTATATTTTTATAGAACCCTTCACCCATAGCAGAAGAATACAGGTATATGCATCAACGCTAGGGAACATTAACATGTCAAAAAAACTTTAAGTGTTTGTTTAACGACGTCATTTGGATGTTAATATAATTCGCGTTTTTCAAAAATTTTTACAAATTTAAATAATTTTTCACTCAACATTTTCAATTTCAAATTTGGTTTGACAGTTCATTGTCCCAGCAGCTGTGCCGATGCGCCAACCTATATTCTTCTACCATACCTTCACCTTTAAAAACATCTTTAACGGTAAGATGATACGATTCCTGAAAATGAAATGAAATTTGTTGCGTGTGGACATCGGCATAATAATAATAAACCAATCAGCTGTTTTAATGCGCTTAACAATTTCGTTTACCCTACACTCCGACTTTGTTTATTACTCGATCTTAACACCCCTATTTCTTTTGACGAGTTGTGATTCCATGTCCTTTAATATGGGTTTTGAGTGATTAGCGCAATAAAATAATTCTAAGATTATATATAAAACCCATCTGTTCCATCTGCTGCAATTGTAATGGAAGAACGGCCAATATGCCGGGTCTGCATGCAAAGCTTTATGCTGTTAAACTGGAATAATCTTCTGTTTCCTATGAGTGATAGTAAGATATCTTACAAGGACTGTTATTACAAATATACCCAGATCGAGGTGAAAGGTAAGTACTTTGTAGATCCATCAAAAATAAAAAAACATAATCCTTCCATTATTACTTCAGATACATTGCCCCAATTCTTGTGTAAGCAATGCTCCACTGATTTGAAAAATGTCCACCTCTTCATTGAAAAAGCTCTTGAGGCAGAACAAAGTTTTCAACAATGCATTCAACAGTTTGAAAATGAACACGTACCGATTGGGAATGAAGAGTTAAAAATCAAACATTCTTTTATAAAGGGACAGATTCAGGAAAATATTGGTGACGAAAAGTTGAAAAACGGATCTCGTGAAGAAATTAAGGCCGATCAAGCCGATAATATAACCGAGTTTGAGTTGATAGAGGAAGAAGTTGAATATATTGAAGATACACAATATCTTGGTAATGACGAACAAGAAGAATACAGGGACGTAATAATTGAAGATAACACTGGCGAAGATGCAGAAAATGAAACAGATATTGAAGAAGATCTTGTTGAATGTTATAAGGATCCCATTGGAGAAGAGGGGCCTGCTGGCAATAATAATGAGCCTAAAACCCAGTTAGATCAAGCGAATGGAGATAATGATAAAGTAACTGAAGGAAGAAAGAGAATACCCACTCCCGCCATGTGCTCTTACTGCTGTAAAAAGCTAATCACTTATAGTCTAACCCATACTAACCTTCATTGCTATTTTAGCGAAAATTATCCATGATGTCTACTATTTAAAAAGACATGAGCAGACACACAAAGAATTTAGAGAACGAAAAGTTGAATGTCCAAAATGTGGCTTTAAAACCTATAACAAACAAACGCTACAAAAGCACATGGTGTGTCACGATGAAAACCGTGAAAAGAAATACAAATGTGAATTTTGTGATAAGTCGTTCTTCCGACGAGGTGCGTGCAATGTACATCGTAGATTACATTTGGGACAGACTGTAAAATGTTCAATATGCTCCAAAGAATTTCCACGACAAGTCGATCTTGACGTCCATATGAAATGTCATTCCAACACACCAATATATTTGAAGGTAGCTATGACATGAGCTCCAAGGATCTTAAATTAATGGTTATGTTTGTCTTATTATTTTTCTAGCCCCAAAGTAAATTTATTGTTCATTGCAAGTATTGCGATAAAGACATCAATAGCCGAAAGTATTATGAACATCGAGCTAAGCATTTGAACCAACCTCTGATACGTTGTACCCTCTGCGAAAAGGATTTCTTCAGTCGAAAGTCGTAAGTAAATTTTATTCAATTTATGTTACTTGTTCAGTTACAATTAACATGTGTATTTTACAGGTGCTCACAGCACATGACCAGAATGCACAAGCGGAAAGGCAATTATGATGACATAGCCATGTACTATGAAAAGAATCGTATGCGTTTGTCACACCAATTTATACTACAGCAGGAGAAAGTAATAACCAAGACGGAATAGAGGAAAATATGAATACAAAAAAGAACGTTATTTTAAAAATTCAAGATTCGGAGTACAGGGATGGAATGCAGCATCCGCAAATAAACTGTTTTAATGAGGCAAACTTAGTTTCCATTACATGTGAGGACGACGGGCTGTCACTTCAAATAAAGTTTTTTTGTTTGTTTTTAAAGAGCAATACTATTCCCTCAAATCTGTTACAAACTTAGTACGATATGTATGTATAGCCCATGGTAGAAAAATACAGGTAGTCGCCTCGACACAGCTGCTGGGACAATGAACTGTCAAATTAACTTTGGAATTAAAATTTTTAAGGCGTCGTATAGGAAAACATACAAGTCTAATTATTTAAAAAAAAAAACGTTTTCAATTTTTGACATTGATGCGTGTATTCTTTTGCCATGAAATAGTTTGAGACTATGTGATACTACATTTTTATAGAGCCCTTTAACTTTAACAACACCTTTAATGGTAAGATGATACGCTTTCTGAAAATAAAATGTAATTTGTTGTTTGTGTGAATATCGGCATGATAAATATAAACCAATCAACTGTTATTATGCACTTTACGATTTCGTTCTCCCTACATTCCGACTCGAACTTCAAACCCCTATTTCTTTTGACGAGTTGTGATTCCATGTCCTTTGATTTGGATATTGATTAACGCAATAAAACAACTGTAAGATTATATCTATAAAAGCCATCTCAACCATTTCCTGCAAGAGTAATGGAAGAACAGCAAATATGCCGGATCTGCATGCGAAGCTATATGCTGTTGGACTGGAATAATCTGTTGTTTCCCCTGAGTGACAGTAAGATATCTTACAAGGACTGTTATTACAAATATACCCAGATCGAGGTGAAAGGTAAGTACGTTGTAGATCCATCAAAAATAAAAAAAACATAATCCTTCCATTACTACTTCAGATACATTGCCCCAATTCTTGTGTAAGCAATGCTCCACTGATTTGAAAAATGTCCATCTCTTCATTGAAAAGGCTCTTGAGGCAGAACAAATTTTTCAACAAAGCATTCAACAGTTTGAAAATGAACACTTACCGCTTGGGATTGAAGATATAAAAATTGAACATTCTTTTATAAAGGGTCAGAATCAGGAAGACAATGCTGATGAAAAGTTGAAAAATGGATCTGTAGAAGAAATTACGGCCGATTATGCTGATGATATAAACGAGTTTGAGTTGATAGAGGAAGACGATGTACATATTGAAGATACACAATGTCTAGGTAATGAAGAACAAGAAGAACAAACGGACATAATAATTGAAGATAACTCTGGCGAAGACGAAGAAAATGAAACAGATATTGAAAAAGATCTTGTTGAATGTGATAAGGATCCCATTGGAGAAGAGGGAGCTGCTGACAATAACTATGAGTCTGAAACGAATGGAAATAATGATAAAGTTACTAAACCAAAAAAGAGGATATACACTCCCGCCATGTGCTCCTACTGCTGTAAAAAAGTAATCATTTATAGTCTAACCCATATTAATTTGCATCCTCGTTCCTATTTTCAGCGAAAATTCTTCGCGATGTCCACTATTTGAAGCGACACGAGCAAACACACAAAGAATGTCGAGAGCGAATAGTAGAATGTCCAAAATGTGGCTTTAAAACCTATAACAATCGAACGCTACGCATGCACATGGAGTGTCACGATGAAAATCGGGAAAAGAAATACAAATGTGAATTTTGTGATAAGTCGTTTTTTCATCGTGGTTCCTGTAATGTGCATCGTAGAATACATTTGGGTAAGACTGTCAAATGTTCGATATGCTCCAAAGAATTTCCACGCCAAGTTGATCTTGACGTTCATATGAAATGTCATTCCAACACACCAATATATTTTAAGGTAGCTGTGACATGAGCTCCAAACGTCTTAAATTAATGCTTGTGTTTGTTTTATTTCCCTAGCCCAAAAGTAGATTCATTGTTCATTGTAAATATTGTGGTAAAGATATCAATGGTCGAATGTATTATGAACATCGAGCTAAGCATTTGAACCAACCGCTAATACGTTGTACTCTCTGCGAAAAGGATTTCTTCAGTCGACAGACGTATGTAGATTCTATTTTTTTGTTTGATTGTTTAGTTACAATTTTCATAATTTACAGCTGCTCACTCCACATGACCAGAACACACAAACGAACGAAGGGCAATTATGATGACATAGCCATGTACTATGAAAAGTATCGTATGCGTTTGTCACACAAATTTATACTACAACAGGAGAAAGTAACACCCAAAACGGAGTAGAATTAATTAATTAATTGTATATTAATAATTTGTTATGATGTAATCTTTAATTTTACATAAAAGAAATTCTATTTCATATATAGGTATGCAATACAGAATTCACAAATAAACTGTTTTAATGAGCCAGCCTTCGTTTCCTTTACATGTGAGAACTACGTGATGTCATTTCAAATAAAAAAGCTCTTTTATTTCTAAACAGCAATACTATTCAGTGCTCAAATTTGCAATAAACTTAGTACCATGGATGTACCACGTTGCTCCACTGCGTTACATTACTGCTGGTAAATTACGTTGGAGCCTAGCCTCCGTTCATGCGGATGCTAGTTGTTCTTGCATGCTTATTCCAAAATGTACAACCCTTTACTACGAGAGGAAAGGAATTTTTTATGATTTATTCTTGTATACATCGAGCATTTAAAACACAACAGCGATACTATTAAAATATTTTCCTTTGTCTTTTATTTTTAGGATCAAATTCAAATTGGGCACCAAACGCATGGTAAGTAATCTTTAATTATATACATATATACAAAAACAATAGTAAATACATTGCAAACGCTCTTATCTTCCCTGACAATCCACATTTCATGTCTTCGCTTCTACATCTTCTTGTTGCTTCATCAGGACATGTGACAAACGTGGCCTATATTTTTCATAATACATTGTTATGTCATCATAGTTGTCCTTAGTTCTCTTGTGGACCCGTTTCATATGGATAGTACATCTAAATAAAACAATATTCGTTTAGGTCAGGTTCAACACAAAATTAATTCCACATACTTAGCTCGACTAAAGAAATCCTTTTCACAGAGAATGCAACGCACAAAGGGTTCATTTAAATGTCGCGCTCTATGCGCATTAAAATTGGCGCTATTTATATCTTTATTACAGTCCTTGCAGTGAACTATGTACTTAAGCTTTGGCTGTAATTACAATCATAGGTAACATGGCATGGCACCATTTGGGGAGAGAGTGAAATATCCATACCTTTGGTTTGGCCGCATGTAACGGTGTACTAGAGTGACTTTGAACGTGCCGGTCGACATCAACTTGTCTGGCAAATTCCTTTGGACATATGGGACATTTGATCATCTGACCCAAATGTATTCGACGATGCACATTGCAGGCCCCACGATGAAAGAATGCCTTGTCACAGAATTCACACTTGAATTCCTTTTCACGATTCTTATCGTGGATTTTCATGTGCGTGTACAGAGATCTTTTAGTAAAAGTTTTAAGACCACATATAGAGCAAGTTACTTCCCGCTCTCTGTCCTCCTTGTGGATTAGCTCATGCATTCGTAGAGCGTAGGCATCCTGTAGGATTTTTGCTGGAAATACAAAATTAAAGATCCTTAAGATTGTCTAGAAGCTTTCCTTTTCATAAACTTACAGCAGTATGAACACATAGCACCTTTTCTGGTCTCCAATTTCGATCTGTTGTTTTTCTTTTCCTCAACGGATATCATGGATTCGTTTTCCCCATCACCATTCTCACCATTGCTTTCCAGGTCGTACTCATTTTCGGTGAGATTGCCGGTTTGAGTTTCTGATAGCTCATTTCTACTGTCTTCTTCAGTGCTATTCGCTTCCTCCTCCTCCTGAGACGGTAATTCGCTTTCAGGGGTTTCTTCTAAAGAATCTATGGCAGTTATTTCAAAACATATGTCGGGCATATAGACACATTCAGTTTCTTCTTCAATTTCATTTTTTACTACAGGCAGGCTGAGGGATTCTTGTAATTTTTGTTCCAAATATTTTTGCGTCTCAATAGCTTTTTCTATGAGTAGATGAAACCGCTTCATCTTTATTGAACACAGTTGACAAAAGAATTGCGGAAGTGCATCTGAAACTGATGGGCGAAGAAAATTTGAGTAGGTTATTTTTAATGGTTTAGGATTCCAATTGCTTACCAAAATCCATTTCTTCCAGTCGCGTGTATTTGTAATAACAATCTTTGTATGAGATATCCATTGCATCCGAAAGTGGTTTATTCCAATTGACAAGTACCCCGCCTTGCATACATATTCGACAAATGTGTTCTTGCTCCATTATTAAGAAGGGGATACTCGGCTTGTTGATAAGGTTCTGTTTGGCTGTTAACTCATCAAATTCTTGAAACCTGGAAGTAAAGATGTTTACAACTTCTGGAGGAATTTTGAAACACGTTGTGCTACCGATATAAAAAGCGTTCCAGTCAATACAAATGAAGAGGTCAAAACTAATGACTCGATAAACAAATTGAAAACAAAGTGGCCAAAAACAGGCTTTGTTTACGAATAATGGGAATAATACACAAACAACAAGTTAAGGGTTTAGTAGGTGGGTGGTTATTCAATTGAAGGATTCACTGAAATGAGCCATTAAACCAGTTTCATCTGAAAACGCCGGCTGATTAAATCGAAAATTGATTATAATCATGGTACAATAAAAAGGTAAGGTAGAACTACCAGCTGATAACTATTTTTTCTAACAATGCCCAACTGTTGAAAAATGTAGTTAAAATCAGGAAAGACATTAATCTGCACAGACAATTTCCTGTCATAGGAAATAGTACCCATTAAAACCTCAGCCGAACGTGAATAAACACTTACTTTCCCATTTCTGTACATTAGGTTTTTGATACATCATTATACCCATGGTACAATGATATCAAGGTAGGGCTATGATACCATATTATTTCAATTTTTTTTATTTTCTTGGCTTAATATGTCATCTTTATTTGTTTATGTATGTGTTTTCTTTTCAATAACAAAAAAGTTGTTCACAAAATATTCAAATTCGGGTGTTTTCAAAATGTTTTGTTTCAACGTATGCATCGACAAAATCTGGAGTTTTTGTAGGGAAATAATTCTTTAGAGATATATAGTACATGATTTTGAAAAGAATTGTTGACCTTTCATTCAGTTATAGTGTTTTTCAATTATTTATTCAAAATAAATGCAACAATTTGTTTGATTTTTTATTGTTTTGACACTAATTCTGACATTACAAGCCAAACAGGTAAACCTCTATACTTGCAATTTTTTTCAAAGTTGGCCTACCTTCTCTTCATTGTACCATGATTATACCCTCAGCCATATGGCTAAAGAGGGTATATAATTTGATGCGGCCAAAACTTGCCTCATCGAAATAAAGATTTTAGACCTTAGGTCTCTTTGGACCAAACCCGTTTCAGGACATTAGTCGAGCTAGCGATGTCCTTTCATCTGTCTGGCTGGCTGGTGTGCACGATAACTCTCGAAGGGAATATCCAATTTGGTCCAAACTTGGTACTTCGTAATATTTTACTTAGATCTTAGATCGAGTTCCGACATGGGCAATATCGGTCAACTGTTTCTGGTACCTCTCCCCACAATGGTCAACATTTTCAAAGAACATGTTTTACTGCACATGGAGAAAAAGGATAATCCTATTTTACTCAATCTTGGCAAATCATGCAAAAATGCGAAAATATACAATATTGCTATCTCCCCCACAAAAGGTCAACATTTTGAATAATTATAACTCTTATAAAATATGATATAAGAGACGGATTATCCTCAAATTACGCATATCACAATATAATAGGTCTGGTGTGATAATGGAATATATCGGTCTACTCCTTCTGGTACCTTCCCCACAAAGGGTCAAAATTTTGAGTACCCATGCAGCTCATAAAACGTGAAATTAACATACGAATCCATTTAGACCTGACAAATCTCAAAATGTGTATCAACACTAGATCTGTAATAAAAATGGTCGAGGTACCATCCCACAAAGGGTTCAACGTTTGGAAAACTAAACGCTCATAAAACTCGAAATAAGCATCCAACTCTTTTCAAATTTCACACATACAAAAATTTTTGCTAACGCACAATCTTTAATGAAGATGATATACGGAGTGAGATATAAAAACTGCAACAAAGTCAAACGCCATAATTTTTACATAGGAAATAGCATCAAATTTTGAATAAGTTTAGATTTGTTCGAATTGGTCACCTTTGGCACGAATTATAGCCTTCAAACGGCTAATGAATGTTGCTCTATTTTGACTCATTGCCGGCGAAGCGCTTGCTTCAGATAATCGACACTGGTATATTTTAGTGCCAACCTTGCTTTCCAAAATACTCCAGACACAATAGTCCAACGGATAGGTCAACCGAAGGTGCACATTTTCAGCTGACCTCTTTGGCAAGTAAACACGATCATTTTGTTTTTTGTTTGTTTACAAAATGCTGGACAACGAATGTTTTCTCATCGGAGAAAACCAAATTCGGCAGTTCACTACTTTCGGCCAAGCGAAGCAACTCTTTAGCTCTTTTGAGTCTCTTTTCTTTCTGTTGCAATGTAAGTTCTTGCACTTTTTTGGAATTTCAATGACCCCAGCTCATTTTTCAATATTTGCCGAATGGATTATTGTGATATGTTCAGCTCAAATTTAAAAGGTCAGCACATAATGACTTAATACAACTGACGGCAAATCGATTGATACTTTCTCATTTGTTAATGTCTCCCTTATTACTTACCGATTTATAAATATCATGCAAATAAAATAATTTTATATATTGTTTAATCAATTCTTTATTCATTCCTGTTTTTAATATTTTTTTACTTATGATCCAGCTATTTTTTTTATTAAAATATTAACACCATCTCTCATAGATATTGAGAGAATAAAACAAATGCAAAACATTTAACATACACATTTACACTGATACTACATAACGGACAGAGAGTGAGTGTGAGAGTGAGAGAGAATGGGGATAAGGGGATTCCTTTAAAGAAAGTAATAGGGAAATTATAAAAGAATAATGAATACAATTTAGTAAAAAGAAACATATTTTGGTGGAAATATGTTTAATTAATTAGATTTAATATATAATTAAAAATTCCCTTTAAAACAAAGTGAAAGAAATAAATTAAAAAACAAAACGTTTTATGTGTTTCTCTTTTGTTTTTAATATTTGTACAATAATTAGGGGTAGGTTTAAAATTGTATTTTTAAAAACTATGAATCATTAACTAGGTATATAATTTTGTCTGCAACATGTTGATATTCATTTTAAATGTTATTAGTAAAATAGATAGGTACATGTAATTTATAATTTGTTAGCATAGATGTTATCTAGATTAGTGTTTATTTTTTTTTTTTCAACTTTTCTCCATTTATTTTCTTTTATTTACTAGATATTGTTTTATTTATTCAGTTAATATTTTTTTGTTTATTATTTTAACAGTCTTTTATGGCATTTTCTTCATCTTTTTCTTAATAAAGTGTTGTTGTTGTTGTTGGTTTCGGTTGTTCAAACTCCAAAACACATTTTTCGGTATTTTTTATTTGTTTGTTTGTAAATCCAAAACACCTGTTTGTATCAGTATTTGTATTTGCCTGTGTATTCTGAGACACAGAAATAGTTCCTTAACATAAAAATAGAGTAGTAGTTTTAGTACAATTAAAAATATTTCAACAATTATTTTTTGTTTTGTATTGTTTACCCTTATCATTAGGTAGTGCCTTAGTTACCCTAACCATTTAAATTTTGCGAGTGTCTGGGACAGTTATAAATTCTGTAGTATTATTATGTTTTATTCTTTACATTGGTCTCACAAATAATATTTGTTTTAAACCATATTTCAATATTTTTTCTAAGCAAAAAATAACAACAAACAATGGGATGCCATCTCTTCTGTTTTCCTGTCTAGCTTCTTATTTAAGAAGCAGTTATCGGAAATTGCTCTCAAGTTATTGTATCAAAAAAAGATTAGATGATTTTGAACACAAATTTATGCGGAAAATGTTACTTTGGGTTTTTAATCAAATTAAAATCAATCAATAAACCCAAGATTAAGAGGATGGCAAATTGGGAAATAGGATAGAATTTTAAAATTGTATGACACGTTGAGTTAAAGTTTTTATTGATAGTGGCTTTTGAAATATAGCTTGGTATTTAAAAAGGATAGGATGGTAGAAGAATAAAGGTAGCTGCTGGGGCAATGAACTGTCAAACCAATTTTGAAATTGAAATTTTTGAATAAAAAATTATTGAAATTCGTTGAAAAATTGTTCGAAAATCCATACAAAAATGCAAAAAACCTCTAATTGGCATCGTATAAGAAACAATTTTCAAATATAATTATTTTTGAAAAATAAAAACATTTTAAAAATTTTGACATATCAATGTTCTCAAGCGTTGATATATCGACCTGTATTCTTCTACCATGTAGCGTACAACCTTATATCTGGTTCCTCGTATCTAGTTTACTTTATGAGGAGTACAGGGTGAGATGAAAAAACTGCAACCAACTTTAGACTGCTGTCATTTCTGTCAAAATTATTCCCGTGACAGCTCATTATGTTTACAAGCCTACAAAAGCATTTTGGTGAGAATTTTCCAGAAAAAAAAATTGTTCGTGATGGAATTCAAGCGTGATAATGTGCTTTCTTTATATTTGGCTGAAAAAGCACAAGTGGCTATCGTTAGAGCACTCCAGCATTTAAATGTGAATAAAACTTTTGTGTCTCGTACCATCGCTCGTTACCGTGATACTGGTAGCGTAGCCCGACGTCAAGGCAGTGGACGGAAGACGGCAACAGCAACATCAGCAAAAATGGTTCGAAAAGTAAAGAAGCGACTTGATCGAAATCCGCGTCGCAGTGGCCGAAAAATGGCTCGTGAGCTAAACATATCGCAATATTCAATTGGGGCAAATATTGAAAAATGAGCTCGGGGTAAAGCCATTGAAATTCCAAAAAGTGCAAGAACTTACACCGCAATAGAAAGAAAATAGACTCAAAAGAGCTAAAGAGTGGCTTCGCTTGGCCGAAAGTGGTGAACTGTCGAATTTAGTTTGGTTCTCTGATGAGAAAACATTCGTTGTCCAGTAGTTTGCAAATAAACAAAATGATCGTGTTTACTTGCCAAAGAGGTCAGCCACCAAAACTCAAGCGCCGGCCTTGGTGATGGTGTGGGTTGCCATAACCGCCGATGGTCGCTCTCCGCTCGTATTAATCTACCGTGACATCAGAATAAATGCTGAATATTAGCGCGAAAATATTCTGGAGGGTGTATTAAAGTCTTGGACACGCAAACAATTTTGCCGCAGACCTTGGACATTCCAACACTCGCAGTCAGCGCGCGCCATGGTTACAAAATGAGGTTCTTCGCTTCATTTCCAGCGGACAATTGCCACTCAAAATCTCCGGATACCAATCCGTTGGACTATTGTGTCTGGAGTATTTTGGAAAGCAAGGTTGGCACTAAGAAATACCAAAGTGTCGACCTCAGGGAAGCGCTTCGCCGGAAATTAGCCAAAATACCGCAGAGCAACATTCGGGCAGCGTGTGACGGTTTCATTGGCCGTCTGAAGGCCATAATTCGTGCCAAAGGTGACCAATTCAAACAATTCTAAACTTATTCCAAAATTTGAGACTATTTCAGACTGAATTTTGCTTTCATTTAATAAAATTTAAAGAAAAATGTTAAAACTATGACGTTTGACTTTATTGCAGTTTTTTTATCTCATTTTTGTGTGTTTTTTTATTACCGGAAACATACCCTTAAGACAGCATCAACCTATAAGTATGTTTACACGTACGAAATCCAATTGATTTCTTTCATCAAGTCCTTTGTGTGAATTTCTAAAGAAACTCACTTGAATTCAGAGTTGTTTTATGGCAATTCGTGACCTTCCTAAATAGTTATAATTATATATTATTAAAATCATACTTCTCTAGACTATTTTTTGATACAATATAACGAAGCACTCAAAGAGATGGACAATTTAAATTTTCAGCTAATTTCATTTTATCAAAAATACATTTCAATTTTTCTCAAAGTGCAAACTCTCTATTTTCTTTTTCTTCTTCTTCTTTTTCTTCGTTTTTTCCGTAGATGCCACAACCATTTTGTGCAAAATTTTGCTAAAATTTTTCAACATAATTTAATATTTAATTTATATTTTAGTTATATATGCAGGTATATATATATATATATAGTTTTGTAACGTTGTATAAGTTATGCACAAGTGTGTTGTTGTATACAGCCTTTTTTTGTAAATCCTTACCCAACATACCAAAAATACAATACAGCTTGAGAATAATATTATGAAAATAGTTTATCATAAGAATTTTTCAACAATGCTTGAGAAACACTTTTTTGCACAAAGTTTTCTCAAATCTGTCCTTTGTTGACAAATTTGTTTTGATTTTTTTTTGTGAAAATTGTCAACAAAAAATTATTTTCTTTGGTTAAAATCAAAATCACGCGAATTTAGGACCCATTTCCGGACGAAACTCTAAGGTAATGATGAATAATAAATCTGGGAATCTGTAGTATAAATTATTTCAATCTCATTTCAGAATGGAGGCGTCAAAAAGTTGCAGGAATTCAACAGAAGTGAAGAATAAGTGGAGGAGATACAGAAGCTCAAATAAGGGGAAAGAAAGCATCTAGGTGTCAAGGCAACAGGATGCAGTGACAGCTGGGATGGCAATCAATGAATGAAATGTGTAAAATAATTAAAAAATAAATAAATAAATATTTTTTACCATTGAAAAAATAAGCTTTATAAAATATTACTTTCGTAAGCTTATTCTGCAATTACAAGAATAAGCTTATGAATAAGGGTTCCTTTTCGATTATTCTATAATTGTTAAACAAACATTTCTCAATACATTCTCAAGATTTTCTCAAGCTTTAGGCTTATGTTTGTAAGCTTATTAAAATATTATTCTCAAGTCAATTTGGTATGTTGGGTAATAATTGAAATATATGTATGTGTGTGTGCGTGAAACCTTGGTCAATATTAACAATGTGTGGTGAGTAGAGATAACCGTGTGAGAGTTTCACCTCAAATTATTCATGTATTTTTCACTTTATTCCGAATTATCTTAACATTTCATTTCTTATGAATAACGCTAACTTTTGAATCTAATAACTTTAAATGATAACTGAATATTTTACAAACTTCTGAGGGGTGGTATCTGGATTTCTTAAAATTAAATAATGAGCTTTACTTTGTTCTAACCTTAAAATCGAAGGAGTAGTGGTCAGGGGCAGGAGAGTTTTTTTTAATAACAATAAATTAGACCTCAGTGGTCCATCACAAGTCCATTTTGTTTAATTTTCGCTGTCGGGAATCGTTGAAACGGTTTTATGTTTGGATGTTATAATTTAATATCATTGTTTTTAGGGTTTAACTAAAAATTGGCTGGAATATTACACTGTGCTACAAATGAGGCTAATATAATCATAATTGGTATACTTAATGAATTTTAGCGGTATCTCTTTACAATCAGTTTTTGTTTAAAAAAAAACTCTGTTTCTGGCTTTTAGAATGACAATCATTTCTACCCGGCAACACCCAAGTAGGTACATCATATTTCTCAAAGGAATAAAATTTTCTGAAGTCCGAACACTTCCTCATATCAAATGTGAACCCTATAATTTGAGTATTACTTTGTGGTCGTAATTTCCTGCCAATCGTCTTGCTTATTTATGATCTATTTCAGAACCGGTAAGAATCCACTAGTTTTGATGATACCATTCAGCAAAAATCTGTTATTGTAGTAGCATTTTTGTATTATTGCTGGATTCCGAACATAGTATTAGTTGCATTTTCACCACCGCATGCCAGTGTGGCCATGGTAGAAGAATATATGTAGACGCATCAACACAGCTGCTGGGACAATGAACTGTCAAATCAATTTTGGTATTGAAAATATTGAATGAAAAGCTATTTAAATTTGTAAAATTTGTTGAAAAATGCGAATTATAATTATCTCCGAATAACGTATAAAAAACATAGAGATCTACTCATATTTGAAAGAACATTCAATTTTCTTGACATATCAATGTTCCCAAGCGTTGATGCATCTACCTGTATTTCTCTACCATGAGTGTGACGATAGATTGATAAAATATTAACATGGTAACAATAGGGGTGTACGATTAATTTTGTAACTCAAAAATCCAGAAAATAAGAGCGACTTGGGGGAGCAGTTTCGACAGTTAAGTTACTGAGAGCTCTCAAATTCTTACCAACAAAATCTGTTTAGTGAAAGCTTTCTATTTTGACCAGTTGATTCATGATGTTTTTCAAAAAAATGTTTGAAAACATTTTTATTTTAAGAAATCTAATCTTAGTTGTTAGGTGTTTTGGAGAAGAAAGTTGTAAATTTTAGTTTCTTTCAGTTTGGAGTTTTTATTAAAATCATAGGACAGATTTTCTCGTTTTCAATTATGTTCAAATTTTTATTTTTTTTTTTTGGAAAATCAGCAGATTGCTTGCATATTTGTATATGGTATGTCTGTTTACTTTTCACAACTTTCTTGCAAAAGGGAAGAGAAAAACTACCTTACTCTCTGAGAGAGAGTTTAGTGGACAATTCTAGGAGACAAGACTTCAATATTCCAACATGACAACGCCAGATGTCAAAAGCTGTGTCCGCAATTGGGTATGCGGAATTTTTTCTCCTCCTCTATCTTATTTTGTTTCGTTTGATACTGAGTGACTTAAGTATAGTGGACTTCAAACGAAAGATATTTGAAATAGGCTTGATTTACTCCTTGCCTCCAAATTGATGGAACGCATTTGGCATGGCAAATGATACTTTCTTCATCTGTTCACCGATCTTTATCTTTATAAAGAGAAAAACTACCTTACTCTCTGAGAGAGAAAGTAACGAGACAGGACTTCAATATTCCAACATAACAACGCCAGATGTCAAAAGCTATGTCCGAAATTGGGGATGTGGAATTTTGCTTCATTCTCCTCATAGTCCCGAGCTTTTTATATATTGTTTTGTTTTAATGCAGAACGACTTCAGTAGAATGCACTTCAAAGAAAAGGGCATTGGAAATAGGGTTGATTTAATCTTTGCCTCCAAATTGATGGAGTGCATGCCAAATTGTATTTTTTTTTCATTTGCCCACCGATCTTTGTCTTTACAAACACTACAGTGTCTTCTACAGTGAGAGAAAACCGTTCGAGTCTTTTAGGCGTCTTCGAAAACCCCCTGTTAAGGATTCGCCATAAAGGCATTCATTAGGTATCAATTTTTTGCCATCTGCAGAGATGGTCTGTTTGAGAGTTTTTTAGATTTTCGACTATCGTCATATACGTATATAAAACTTAGAAAAAGTATAAAACTTCATAAACTTCTGAACTGTAATATCCCACATAATACATCCCAAGTTAGTTGATAGACGTTTAGGTCGCATTATTGAAATCTCGCTGATCACAATGAGGATTTTTTTCTTGTGCAAGACTTCCAAATCCGGCAAAGTGAAACCTGAAGCTGGTATTTTGTTCCAAAGACATAAAACTATACGTCGGAAAAGTATGTCATATACATCAGAAATTCTGACAGACCATCTTTGTCATCTGCAAAGATTTCTATTGGTTCATTCGTATTTCTTTTAGATTCTAGTAGTAAATATTTGGACCGAAAAATTTAATATTTAAGTCATTTGCATAAATATGAAGCGACATTTCGGGCTGGATACTTGTTATAAGAAAATACAGATTGAGAAATTATTTATTTTTAAATTTTTTCATTTGACATTTCCTTTTCTTTATAAAAGTTATAATTTCAAATTTTCATAGAACGGGCATTTAGGCCATGGTCGCCCATTACTCCCTTGGGTGCTAAAAGATTTCTCTTATCGATTTGAAAATCACTTTTTGGAAATTGATTATTTATGTGAAATGGAAGTTGTATGGTCTTTCTTTTATACTTTCAATTTTTTTTCAAATGTCTCCCATAGAGAGTCCTCAACATTCTACATTTTGTAGCACAGTGTCATTTGTAGCATGTGTTTACATTGGCTGCTATTCTGGATATTTTACATAATTGTTGTTTTTTTTTTTCATAATATAATTCTTCTTTCTGTTTTGTTTTTCTTAAATGCCATTATTATTGTGTATTTTTCTCTTCTTGTTCAGGTTTGTAAAAATTAAGTGTAAATTGCACCATTAGTAACTATATCGTTCATTAACATATTAATTGTTATTGTAGTATATGTATGTATATAAAACTAACTATATACATATTTATTTATTTTTAAAATAATATTAAGAATACATTTCTTATTATAGTACTTAATTATTCATAACTAATGTTTGTTGTTGTAATTGTTTTGTTTTTATTTACAATTTTAAAATTATTGCAACAACTATATAGAATTAGGGCCGTTAATGCAAGTTCATACTAGTCATGGGCCTGGATTTTAGTTACGTAGTCCATAGTTTTCAGCATTTAAATTTGGAAACTTTTTCTTTTTTGAATTTTAAAAGCAAAAAAGTTTAAAATATAATTTTATTCCTTAATTCGTTATACAAGTCTAATAATTCCTTTAAAATATAATTTAAAATTTTCTAAAATAAAAATTCAAATAATTTCCTTTTTTATTGAATGCGGTTTATTAACAATATGATAATAATAGTAAAATTTTTAATCATCTTAATTATTTAAAACTGAAAACTTTGAATCCAAGCCACAACTATTGAAATCTTTCCAATCTGGCCTTTAGTTAGTCTTTTTTCCTAGTTTTGTTTTCGACTCTGACCCAGTCAAATTAATTTATATAATTTGTTTAAAAACATTTAGTATTTTGTTTTGCGGTGATCTTATGACAATTTCTTTAAAATTATGGCAAACAATTCTAATTCTTTTCTCTTTTTTTCACATAATTTCATATATAAAACATTGAATATTTATCTATTTGTTATTGTATTTTCAATATTTATGACATACATTAATATTAATTTAAAAAAATGTCCATACACATAGGTAAATAAAAATTAGCAGTATTTTTATGAAACCTGTTTGTTTTTTGTTTGTATTTTGCAAAAAATAATCATCCTCTAAGGCAGTGGATGATATATTTGTTGTTGTTGTTGCTGTTGTTATTTCGGCAGGTTGCTGCTATTCTGTTTTGTAGTCTCATCTAGTTTTGATAATTACTTAGCCAGCTGTTGTGGCTGGTGTTTTTTGTTGTTGTTGTTGTTTTTTGTACTTGTCTAATCATATGGGTTTGAATTATTCTCTTCACTCCTTTCCGCAGATTTCTCTCGGCTTGATTTATAACAGGTCTGGGGCGGGATGGGCGATGTTTGATTTGGTGTTATTGAATTGTTGATATTGATTTCATCACCATTCTGACAATCTTTTGGCAGTCCTTTGTCATTGGTAAATCGCTCTTCATTTCGATACTCACATTCCAAGTCATCTGATATTAAGGTATAAAGGTCATCTTGTGGATCATTGGAATTCTGGGAAAACAACAATAAAATTTTAAAATATTTTTGCAATAATTTTAAGACAATTTCTATAAAAAACAGCGCAGCATTTGTCTCTAAAATAACCTTCTTCAAATTTTTTGAAATTTTTCAACAGAAAATGTTAGATTTGTAAGTATTTGATTGGATCAGCTGACTAAAAGCTAAAATCTAAAATACACTTGTATCTATAAATACGCGTGGTTCAACGTTGGGCGCCAGTGAAAAGTTAAAATATTCTCAATTTATCTCTATTTTCTTTAAAAGAATAAAATATAGTTTATTGAACAGACAATATGAAATAATTTACAGATAGTGCCACATGTTGGGCGCCATATGGACACAACTGTATCGTTAGCATCAAAATAAGTGCATTAGATTATTTGCAAGCAAAAAATGAAGCCATCAAAACATTCAGTTATCGGACGAGTGGCTTAGAAATGACAGCGGTCTGAAGTTGGTTGCAGTTTTTTTCATTTCACCCTGTATACCCTCCTTACAATAGTGAAGGGTATACAGGGTGAAATGAAAAAAACTGCAACCAACTTCAGACCGCTGTCATTTCTAAGCCACTCGTCCGATAACTGTTAAAATTATTCCAGTGACAGCTCATTATATTGTTTACAAGCGTACAAAAGCATTTTGGCGAGAATTTTCCAGAAAAAAAGTAATTCGTAATGGAATTCAAGCGTGGTAGTGTGATTTTTTTATATTTGGCTGGAAAACCCCAAGTGGCTATCTGTAGAGCACTCCAGCATTTAAATGTAAATAAATCTTTCGTTACCGTGATACTGGTAGCGTAGCCCGACGACAAGGAAGTGTATGGAAGAAAACAGCAACATCAGCAGAAATGGTTCGAAAAGTAAAGAACCGACTTGATCGAAACCCGTGCCGCAGTGGCCGTGAGCTGAACATTTCGCAATATTCCATTCGGCAAATATTGAAAAATTAGCTCGGGGTAAAGCCATTGAAATTCCAAAAAGTGCAAGAACTTCCACCGCAAAACACATGAAATAGACTCAAAAGAGCTAAAGAGTTGCATCGCTTGGCCGAAAGCGGTGAACTGCCAAATTTTGTTTTCTCCAATGAGAAAACATTCGTTGTCCAGCAGTTTGTAAACAAAAAAATTAATTGATTTACTTGCCAAAGAGGTCAGCTGAATATGTGCACCTTCGGTTGCACACCAGAACTCAAGCGCCGGCCGGTGATGGTATGGGCCGCCATAACAACCGATAGTAACTCCGCTCGTATTAATCGACCGTGGCATCAGAATAAATGCCGAATATTATCGCTAAAATATTCTGGAGGGTGCAGGAGGATATTCCAACAGGACTCAGCACTAAATTTAAAAATTATGGCATTTGATTTTGTTGCAGTTTTTTTATCTCACCCTGTATATCATTTGATACGGCCAAAACGTGCCTCATCGATTCACCTTAGGTCTCGTTGGACCTAATCCATTTCAGGAGTCCATTTGGAGTCGCTCTAGCGATGTCCGTCTATCCGTTTGTCTGGCTGGTGCTCACGATAACTCTCGAAGGGAGTATCCGATTTGATCCAAACTTGGTACATCGTAAACTTATTGTCAAACTTAGATCGAGTTCGGAGATGGGCAATACCACTCCTTATGGTACCTCCCCCACAAAGATCGAAATATTCAAAGAAAATATTTTACTGCACAGAGAGAAAAGATAATCCGACTTTGCCCCAACTTTGCAAATCCTAATATTTGCATCAGTGCTGGGTCAGGTGCGAAAATGGACAATATCGGTCCACTCCATCAAGATGGTAGAGATCAGACTATTCCTTCTGGTACCTCCCCCACAAAGGGTCAAATTTTCACAATATTTTTATAAACCCAAGTTCTGGTGTGAAAATGGGAATTATCTGTCCATTCCTTCTGGTACCTTCCTCACAAAGGGTTAAAATTTTGAATATATATGAAGCTCATAAAACGCGTAATAACATCAGATTACATTCAGATTTCCATCAACACAAGATCTGTTATAAAGATAATATCTTCTGGTAGCTCCTCCACATAGGATTCAAGCGAAATAAGCACTCAACTCTCGATATTTGGATGTGCATAACCCCTTCACGAGCATTTGAATTGTTAACCGATCGACTCTGATGCCTTTATTATTTGTTTCATTTCATCTCTCTTTGAACTTACCATTACCCCAGCTTGGCAATCCTCAGTTTGTGGAACACTATACGGTATTTCATTGTCTTCCTGTAGATTCATAGCTCCACAGAGCTGCTCGTTGAATTCATTGTCGATTCGGTTGGCATGGTCTTCTACAAGGTTTTCGGGAGCTAACACCAAAAAACACCTAATTTGTAAAAAATCCAAAATCCATTTTTTAAATACCTTACCTCTTCGTTGCATTGGTGGCGGACCGTAATCCTCATCGTCATCATTCTCCGATGTGGAATAATTACATTTTCTCTTGGTTCCATTGCTCCCACTCGCGTATGACAACATGGTTTGCTGGTGATCACCATTTGGCGAGTATTCATCACTATCAATGTTGCTGGAATAACGGCGACTCTCACCGCTAGTCGAGCTGCCCCCACAACCATTGTCCTCGACACTGCCTCGATGACAGTACGCCGAATCATTTGTCTGTGTTATGCAACCGATTGTCTTGACAACCGAAACACTTTTATTTATTGAATGTTTAATGGAATCAGCTCCCGGCGGTACCAAAGCCAAGGGGGGAGATTTCGACGAACGACCCATGTGATGAGCCGACATTGAGTGGTGGGAATTTGAATGCTGATAATGTTGGTGATAATTGGACCGTTGAGCCGTCTGCGAATTCTGATCGCTGTCACCATCTTCATCCGTTGCTGGATGTTGTAGATTTTGTATCAGACACAAGACTGCCTTTTCCAGCTGCAACGGGTTTTCCAATGTCGGCACCTCCGAGAAGGATTGCGGTATTTTTGTGTCGATAATCACAGAGAATTTATTTTTCATATGTTCAATACGTTTCTTGCCCTCCTCCTCGCCCAGCAGAGTATTTACACAGATGAAGGAGTGCACCTTGTTGGTGCTCTTGTCGATCTCGAGGAATCCTTTGGTATGGAGGTAAATGATTTTGCCATTGCGGGTAAAGAGACGATACGTGGATTCGCCATATGAGCTGTTGCAGTCGTACACTGCAAGGCAGAGAGGAAAAGGTTAGTTTGTTCAATGTCTTGGTTTGAGTGATTGGTCTACTTACTTTGCCTGAGAGCCACTATGACCCACCGCACATCGTCCTGATGCATGAACGTGAACGGACTTAGATTTCGAACTTCACCGGTCATATAACCGGCCACCAGACTTATGCGTTGATCACAGTCAATGATGCGACCATCAATCAAATGTCTTGTTTTGTACTCCAAACGATTGGCCTCTATCAAGGGATTGATGACCGGAGGTCGCACTATTCTGGCAATGGCAATGAGAACCTATTCCAAAAGAAAAATTGAGAATTATTTCAGTAACATTGTCAGACTGGAAAGTGAATTTAACTCACAATATCATTTCCACTTATCGTATGAAACGGCATTATATCCTCCCGACCACGACTTCGACGCATCAGCTGTAGTGTTGAGGGAAATGTACTGGTTTTCAGACCTCTGGGAGCCATATCACTGCGCCGAAAACTGCCATCAATCTTCACCAGCTCATACGTGGTAGCCTCTGAACGTGGTCCAGCTCTTGCCAACCTGTAATTTAAAGAATTTTATTGAAAAAAAATGGACAGTTAAATTTTTTAAAGGACCCGTATTTTTATATAAATACACTAGGTTCCACGTTGGGCGCCAGTGAAAAATTTAAATATTTTTTGCACAATTTTACTCTAGTTTTCCATAAGAATAAAATATTGTCTTTTGAAGAGACAACTTAAAGTCATCTAGAGAGGGGCACGTTGGGCGCCATTTCGAAGCTTAACTCGTTTTCTTTTTTTTTGAAAAAGAAATAGTTTTAAATGACATACCTCACAGTAAAACTACGTCGATCTTCTCTTAATCGCCGATCGATTTCATCTTCTTCAGCCTTAGTCCGTTGTCGGGGTTCACCGTTCTCATCTTCGGGTTGTATATCGAATAGAGTATCCAGATCTGTGGGTATGAGTTTTTGTTTCAACATCTGATGATCTTCGGGGTGGGTTATGTGGAGGATATTCTGGCCATACAAGTCAGTCTGGAAAATAGAATTGTAATTGCAGTTGAATTTGTAAAATCTGAATTCAATGACGATTGAATATTTATTTTTTTCTTTAAAATATTTTTTATTTACCCACCTGACAATGCCCCAAATGTTCCTCTATACTTGATGAGACCAAAACAATTTGACCGCTACACGTTATTGTCAGGAAGAAACTTTGCAATAACTTCATGAGAGTATCGGTTGTTTGTACGGATTCATTATTAAGGCTTTTACCAAATACTAGAAATCGAGAAAAAATAGAAATATTTAATTTAAGAATAAATGTGGAGTTCCTTCGTTCCCCTTACCATATTGAAGACGTAAACCATGGGTGGAAAATCGAAGAACGGCCGTTTTGTCGACTCGCCGTGGAGATTCTGCAACATGCGGCACCATTGTTGAGAGTTCTTGTATTGAGCCATTCAGCTTGTCACGTCTGTTCTTTTCGGCACGATTGCGAGCTTCACGTCCGCTAGAAGGAAGGGAGGAAAACAAGAAAATGTGAAAACATTAACTCCAAACTAATTCATAAAAAATGAATACTCGATTTTAAAAGTGTAAATGACTTGGTAAATGAAAACCAGTAAAAAAGCTGAAAGTTCGACCGGGCCGATCTTTGAATACCCTCCACCTTTTGGAACGAATTTGACAATTTTCAAAAAAAAAAAAAAAAAAAAAAAATCCGTTAAAAATTCTGTTAAAATCTTAAAAATACCAAATGTAGCCGTCATATTGGGGTCAATATCCAAATGCGGAACATGAAAAAAAAAATCGGTGAATAATGTAGCTAAAATCATCAATATAGGGAAGTTCTATTATATGGGGGCTATACAAAAAGGTGGACCTGCACAGACAATTTTCTGTCATAGGCTGTAGTATTCGTTACGAACTTCAAATACCAAGTTTCAAAGAATTCCGGCGAATAATGTCGCTAAAATCATCAAAATACCAAATATCGGAAGGTATCTCTATATGGGGCCTATACTAAGACGTGGACCTGCACAGACAATTTTCTGTCATAGGCTGTAGTATTGCTTACGAACTTCAAATACCAATTTTCAAACAATTCCGGTGAATAATGTCGCTAAAATCGTCAAAATACCGAATATCGGGAGGTACCGTTATATGGGGGCTATACCAAAACGTGGACCTACATGGCCCATTTTCAATACCAAAAGTCTTGCAGACATAATATACATTTGAGTAAAATTTTATGAATCTGCTTCATTTCGTTCGGAAGCTAGAGTGATTTCCACAGACGGACATCGGCTTAGAATTTTATGCCGATTATGAATACACATACTTTATGGGGTCTACGACGAAATTTTGGGTGCTCCTTCCCAAGGTGGAGGTTATAAAAATCATGTCAAAATAACTTATTTTGCTTTTGTCTTAACAAAATATCCACTACGAATCGGATTATAACCCCATGCTTTTAATCGGCGAATGTTGCAGGAAAGAAGTAGTAATTTTGGCCCACTTAAAGTCTATTAATTGAGTACGCCTTTATCTCTTTTATTGGCCAAGAAATAAATATTTTGTTTAATTTTGCCTTGATAAAATAATGGATTTCCAAGCCGATTTGTAATAAGTGTTTTGCTAGGATTTTTGTCAATCGGTTTTTATGCTCGTAATGCCACCTTCCCCATTTTACATTTCTGTATGTTAAATATTTACCTCAAATTCTTCTTCTTTTTCAATATTGATTCTGTAGTTACACGACAGACATATAAATGCAAACAAGTACTTTTTACTTCGACATAATTGCCTTGAGGTATTCCTGTTAATATTTCGTTTTTGGATTAGTACCATATTCCCACGCACCTGCCCCTAGTCATTAATGTAACAACCGCCTGCCTGCCTGCCTGACTGACTGATTGACTGATTGTTAATACCAAAAACAAGCTTGTAAAGCATTTCTAAAAATAAATTAATTAGAATAATTCAAAAAACTCATCGATTTGATGGCAATGGGGCATGGTTCCTAACCGTGAACACAATTTCTGGTAATTGTTTACTTGGGTCTGCTTCTGCGAAATATTTGTGGCAAAAAGTCTAATTTGCCGCTTCTGCGAATCCTTGAAATGTTATTCTGCAAATAAATTAGGAGAGGTTGAAATTGAAAAAAAAAAAAAAAAGAAAACATAAGTTTGGCGTTTCATTTTCCATGACCGCGTGATTCATTGCAGAAATCTTATCATTTGATAATACTTCTAGGAGGAGAGATTTACATGGAAAATATATTTAACAATTCACCTGCAATTACCACAACTTCGTTAATGCTACATGTAACTCAAAAATACTAGTTTTGTAATTAGTTCTTTGTTTTTATTAGAGTTGAGATTTGCTTGATTTTATTCGCGAGTGCTCGAGGAGTACGAGTTTTATATGAAGTTTATTCTCCCCTCTTATACAGGGTGAGATAAAAAACCAGCAACAAAGTCAAACGCCATAATTTTTACATTTTTATTTAAATTTTATTGAATGAAAGTTAAAAATGTCGGAAATAGCATCAAATTTTGGAATAAGTTTAGATTTGATCGAATTGGTTACCTTTAGCACGATCTATGGCCTCAAACGGCCTCTGAAACATGGCCTATGTTACACTCTGCCCGAATGTTGTTCTGCGGTATTCTGGCCCATTCCCGGCGAAGCGCTTGCTTGAGGTGTTTACTGCCAACCTTGCTTTCCAAAATACTCCAGACACAATAGTCCAACAGATTGGTATCCGGAGATTTTGGTGGCCATTGTGTGCTGGAAATGAAGCGAGGAACCGCATTTTGTAACCATTCTTGGTTGGCGAGTGTTGAGTGTGATGGTACTGAGTCCTGTTGGAATGTCCAAGGCTTGCGGTAAAAATGTTTGCATATCTAAGGCTTTAATACACCCTCCAGAATATTTTCGCGATAATATTCGGCATTTATTCTGATGCCACGGTCGATTAATGCGATCGGAGAGCGACCATCGGCTGTTATGGCGGCCCACAGCATCACCATGGCAGGCCCATGAGTTCTGGTAGCCAAACGAAGGTGCACATTTTCAGCTGAACTTTTCGGCAAGAAAACACAAGCGGATAATTTTGATTGTTTACAAACTGCTGGACAACGAATGTTTTCTCATCGGAGAAAACCAAATTAGGCAACTCCAACTCTTTAGCTCTTTTTAGTCTATTTTCTTTCTTTTGCGGTGTAAGTTCCTGCACTTTTTGGAATTTCAATGGCTTTACCCCGAGCTTATTTTTGAATATTTGCCGAATGGAACATTGCGATATATTCAGCTCGCGAGCCATTTTTCGGCCACTACGACTCGGGTTTCGATCAAGTCGCTTCTTTACTTTTCGAACCATTTCTGCTGATGTTGCTATATTCTTCCGTCCACTTCCTAGACGTTGGGCTACGTTACTCGTAACGTCACGGTAACGAGAGATGGTACGAGGCACAAAAGATTTATTCATATTTGAATGCTGCTGGAGTGCTCTAACGATAGCCACGTGTGGGTTTCCAGCCAAATATAAAGAAATCACACTATCACGCTTGAATTCCAGCAGGAATAACTTGTACAATTTAATGACCTGTCGCTGGAATAATTTTAACAGATGTCGGACTAGTGGCTTAGAAATGACAGCAGTCTGAAGTTGGTTGCAGTTTTTTCATCTCGCCCTGTACACGTCGACCGTAGTATTTCTATGCGAAATTTCACAGCTCTATGGTTAGTCAGATGGACAGATACACAAACATGACTACATCGAAATAAACTTTTTTTATGCTTACATGATTTTTGGGGTCTTCAAGGATTATTTTGAGGGGTTGCAAACGGAACGACATATTTTGTATGCCGTACCATTTTTTCGGAGAAGGAAATAAAATAAAGCTTGCGAAGAGTACTTTCGAAATATCGAAAAATCGGACTATGAGAATTCTGAACAACTCTCCCTCTCTCTCTCTTTCTCTTCCACCTGCAGAAAGATCCATTTAAGTTTCAATTCGCGGTTAGTTCTCGTGTTCTATGAAAATTAGTGTTATTTGTAACAGATCCTTGAAGCTGATTGTGGATGACAATCGAAATATTGGATATAATAAAGAGAAAAAAAGGAGATAACTAAATAAAATTTTTTTATTGACCTGCTGCCGAACCATCATTGAACATAGAATTGAAATATATTTTCTTATATTTTGTTATTTGCATTTTCCCTCTAAAAAACATTTGAATTAATATTTCCATTTAACACTGATTGAAACCCTGTACTCCTTGACCCATAACGTTTAAGTGTTATTGAAGGACTTCTTCAGACATATAATTTGAGTGGGAGCATTCATACTGCATCCCTTAATTTTTATATGAATATGTAAATTGTCATTCAACCCGTTGAGAAGCAAAGTCGAACTACACGTGATTTGTGTCTTTGCACTAGCAATTTGCGCTTTACTCCATATAACAATGTCAACTTATACATTATTTAACCTTTTTCACGTCAGACGTGTAAAATACATTATCTGATAATATCCTCTAGGCCTTTGAGATTTTTGATAGTCAATTCGTATTCGCAAAAAAAAGCCATTTCGAGTCCATTAATATTCTTCGTCTGTAGCTCTTAATTTTCCAAGTACTAATACTGTCTGTCTAACGACTTTCCACTTCGAACCCCAAGGAATTTTTGCTGTTGTCTGCGAAGCAGTAATTTTTAAAAATTGTCTACCAAAATGTGACAGCAGCTTTGGGGAATTGCTAAATATTTTCGCTAATATTTTATTTATCCACCAGTCGGGATGATTATTTCAAAGTTGCCATCTCTCTCCTCTCTCTCTCTCTCTCTCTCTCTCTGTCCACCACCCAAATGACATTGGCATGAATTTAAATTGTTGTTGTTGTTCTTTTTTTTTTGTTGCTGTTCGGTAACCCGTCTTAATGCTGCAAGGTTGTTAACTTTTTGATTTGTTGCTGTTGCCAAGGACATTCCAAATCACTTTCATTCACGTGAAATGTTATTTTGCGACGTAAATAAAAATGAAATACCAACAAAAAAGCGAAATATTATTTATCAATCGAAATCAAACATGATTCAGTCATTTTAATGTCAATATGAAATGATGGGAATGAATGTAACCAAATCTGAGATGTCTAGCTCGCTCTCACTCTCTTCGTCTCCCTCTCACATTAAGTGAAGGACGTACGTCATAATGTGACACACAATAATTACGGCTAGACCTTTGAGCTAATCTGTTATTAACTATTATTAATAAAAAAACAGAATGTATATTAGAAATTTAATAACCCCAACCAGATGACATCTACGTATTTTCGTCTGAACAAATATTAAATGCGTTTGACATTTTGCAGCTGGAATTCAAATTCAAGTGGAAAAATGGGCCTCCAACGCTCGCAAAACATCAAAGAGAAAGTCCCCTCTGCAAAAATCTCTAAATTCATGTGAAAAACTTTAAGGTTAAGCATCTTGTTCGCCGAAATGAATAGCCTAATTGGAATCGAAACAGTATAAAATGTCATTTCTTGAAAATTTCTAGAATATTGAAATATTTTGCTTCGTTTTTCTGTGAATTCTGTTGGAGCAGATTTTAACATTTTACAAAACACACGACCCTCATCACATTGGCGAGGCGAAAGAAAAACAAAAGATTTTAGCAATGATTTCAGGACTGAGTTAGAAAGATTTACATTTGATAATGCGAGTTGGAGGTTGAACAGCTGTTGTTGGTTTTCCAGTCAGTAACGATAAATCTTCTCTTAAAACAAGTAAAATAGTATCAGTCGGTTTATCCGACACATGTATACCCCTATCGAGTTATGAGGGATGTTCCGAATCAGTTGGATAATATTGACCAATCCATGTCTGACCTGAGACTGATAAAAATATTACAATATTACTTGTTTCGCAAGTTATGACAGATATAAATATTGAAAATTATGATTCTTTGTGGGTGAAGTACCAGAAGGGATTGGCAAATACAGGGTGAGATAAAAAAACTGCAACCAACTTCAGACTGCTGTCATTTCTAAGCCACTTGTCCGACCGCTGTAAAAATTATTCCAGTGACAGGTCATTAAATTGTTTACAAGCGTACAAAAGCATTTTGCTGAGAATTTTCCAGAAAAAAAGTTATTCGTGATGGAATTCAAGCGCGATGGTGTGATTTCTTTATTTTTGGCTGGAAAACCACAAGTGGCTATTGTTAGAGCACTCCAGTATTTAAATGTGAATAAATCTTTTGTGTCTCGTACCATCTCTCGTTGTCGTGCTACAGGTAGCGTAACCCGACGTCAAGGAAATGGACAGAAGAAAACGGCAACATCAGCAGAAATGGTTCGAAAAGTAAAAAAGCGACTTGATCGAAACCCGCGTCGCTGTGGCCGAAAATTGGCTTGTGGGTTGAACATATCGCAATATTCCATTCGGAAAATGTTGAAAAATGAGCTTGGGGTAAATCCATTAAAATTCCAAAAAGTGCAAGAACTTACGTCGCAACGGAAAGAAAATAGACTCAAAGGAGCTAAAGAGTTGCTTCGCTTGGCCGAAAGTGGTGAACTGCCGAATTTGGTTTTGTTTGTAAACACCAGAACTCAAGCGCCGGCCATGGTGATGGTGTGGGCCCCCATAACAGCCGATGCTCACTCTCCGCTCGTATTAATCGACCGTGGCATCAGAATAAATGCTGTATATTATCGCGAAAATATTCTGGAGGGTGTATTAAAGCCTTGGGCACGCAAACATTTTGGCCACAGACCTTGGACACTCCAACAGGACTCAGCACCATGGCACTCAGCACAAAATGAGGTGCCTCGCTTCATTTCCATCTCACAATGGCCACCAAAATCTCCGGATACCAATCCGTTGGACTATTCTGTCTGGAGTATTTTGGAAAGCAAGGTTGGCACTAAAAAATACCAAAATATCGATCACTTCAAGCAAGCGCTTCGCCGGGAAAGGGCCGAAATACCGCAGAGCAACATTCCGGCAGAGTGTGATGGTTTCATTGACCGTTTGAAGGCCATAATTCGTGCCAAAGGTGACTAATTCGAACAAATCTAAACTTATTCTAAAATTTGATGCCATTTCCGATTTTTTTTTTGCTTTCATTCAATAAAATTGAAAAAAAAATGTAAAAATTATGAAGCTTAATTTTGTTGCAGTTTTTTATCTTACCCTGTAGATTTCGCCAACAAAGGGCTAAGCCCTTTGTAGTTCACATCAAGGTATTAACCTTAACCGTATATGGTCCATCTTTTCCACCGTAAATGGTCCCTGAACCCATCTTTTCCACCGTAGATGGTCCCTGAACCCATCTACTCCACCGCAGATGACCCCCCAACTCATGTACTATACCGTAGATGGCCCCTGAACACATATAATCTACGGTAGTTGACCCCTGAGCCCATCTACTCTAAAGTAGATGGCTCCCGAACCCATCTAATCTAAAATATATGAATTTCGGTCAAATAAGTTTGTAAATGTGACGTATAGTATTATGGACAATAATGGAATTTTGGAATATAATTGAAGTAGCTTAAATTTATCTGAAAAATTCAATAACTCCATTTAAAATTATGCGTTTTCCATAGTAAAATGTCGCCAAACAATCCGAAACACCCCCTCACTCATTGCTAATATTTTGTCAAACAGCCCGCAGAGCGATAGGAGTTAAGGTTTTGGCTTCTCAGAATAAAATTAGAATATATAATAGACTTTGAGATGGATTTTCCACTACTCCTTTGTAGCCGTCATCCCCATATGGAATTTCCCATTCCACTGAAAAAATTTTCCTGGAAAAAATTTCACAGCATTTACTTGTCGATGGGGGGAAAATCTATAGAATTCCCATCAAATGTATTCGATTCCTGGAAGACAAGGCATTTTCAACGAAAAACTTTTCTTTTATTCCTTGGTCCATCCCATGATGATGCTGACGATGATGGGAGGGTGATTTTAAGCCCCCGTCGAAAGAAAAAATCACAGAAAAGGGATCAAACGATATAAGCCGATCTATAACCTAAACAAATAAACTTGAAATTGAATATGACCAAGCTGAAATGGTAACTTTTTAAGTTAAAGGACATTCGCACACACACACACGCACACACATTCATACACATATGAAGACAGAAATACATTCGTCATATATCCATGTATGTGTGCATATATGAACAAGTTATTAATTTATTTAATGTCTGGCAAAAACATCAAGATTGTCTTCGACAGCAACGGTATTCGAAAAGTACCGCCCCCGCTTTTCTTTAATTTCATTTGTGTACGTGTGAGCGTATGTGTGTGAGTGTGCGGTTTCCTGCGGGATATTTGATTCTGATTTTGATGCTGTTTTATTGCTTGTGTACACATTCGAGTTCATTTCGAGTCCTTGTCCATGGATTTTTTTCTATTTGTGAACGAATTATAAGGAAATGCTTCGAAAGGAGCTGCCGTTGCTGTTGTGGCTGCTGCTGCTGCTGTTTTTGTCCTTCTTTGGTTTTTGCGTAGTTGTCTTTAAGTTGGGAATGGAATGAAATGACATGGCCACGCGTATTCATTTGTTTGTGCGGGGCTAGAGAAAAACACCACCACCACACCACGAAGAGGAGATGAAATGAAACTATTTTTGTTTAACCAGGGCCAGATGAGAGAAAAAAAATTGGAAACCTGTTGTTTTCCCAGATTTCTGTCTTCGGCGTATTTTACGCAGCACTTGAATGATGGACTGGGATGTAAGTTGTATGAGACATGTACTGAGTTCGTAGGGATGGCGATTTTGAATAGATTTTTTTTTCAATGCAATTTGGACTTAAAGAAATTTTGAATGGCCGCTAATAGTTTTTTGAAAGAGATCTTTGTTTATTCATGGTAAATTGAGAGAGAGAGAGAGAGAGAGAGAGAGAGAGAGAAACACTAATAAATTCGTTTATCTTCTCCCTTTGTCAGAAACTCAGTTCCCTTACAAACGTATTTTCTGAGTCTCACTGCGGAGTATTGGCCACATAGGTAATATAAAATTATTTTGTCCACAATTCAAAATAATTACAAGTAAAAAAGCTGGCCTTGCCGAGCTTTGAATACTCTCCAACATTTGTAACGAATTTGGCAATTCTTAAAAACAATAAAATCCGTTAAAAATTCTGTTAAAATCACAAAAAAAATTAAATACAATTAAAAATGCCGAATGTAGCTGTTATATTAGGGTCTATACGACGACATGGACCTGCATAGGTAACATTTGTCATAAGCCATTACAATATTCAAATCCGAAACTTAAAGAAAATCGGTAACAATGTAGCTTAAATCATCAAAACAGCGAATATCGGGAGATACCGTTATATGGGGGCTATATGAAGACGGGGACCGGCACAGACAATTTTCTGTCTTAGGCTGTAGTATCCATTACGAACCTCAAATACCAAATTTGAAAGAATTCCAGTGAATATTGTCGCTAAAATCATCAAATTACCGAATATCGGGAGGTACCGTTATATGGGGGCTATACGAAGACGTGGACCGGCACAGACAATTTTCTGTCTTAGGCTGCAGTATCCATTACGAACCTAAAATACCAAATTTGAAACAATTCCGGTGAATAAAGTCTCTAAAATCAACAAAATACCGAATATCGGGAGGTACCGTTATATGGGGGCTATACGAAAACGTGTTCCGGCGCAGATAATTTTCTGTCTTAGGCTGTAGTATCCATTACGAACCTCAAATACCAAATTTGAAAGAATCCCAGTGAATATTGTCGCTAAAATCAACAAAATACCGTATATCGGGAGGTACCGTTATATAAGGGCTATACGAAGACGTGGACCTGTACAGACGATTTTCTGTCTTAAGCTGTAGTCTCCATTACGAACTTCAAATGCCAAATTTGAAACAATTCCGGTTAATAATGTCGCTACAATCATCAAAATACCGAATATCGGAAGGTACCGTTATTTGGGGCTATACCAAAACGTGGACCTACATGACCCATTTGACCAAAAGTTTGGCAGACATAACATACATTTGAGTACAATTTTATCAATCTACTTCAATTTGTTCGGAAGCTAGAGTGATTTCCACAGACGGATGGACGGACAGACGTCCCTAAATCGACATATAATTTTATGTTGATCAAGAATATATATACTCCACACTATGGTGGAGGGTATTGAAATGAAGATACATTTATCCCCACGACAAAATTTTAAAATCTGCAGGTCACATCTAAAATTTCTCCTACTCACCTATTTGACAGCTGGAACATGTCCATCATGTGATCGTGGGGAAACTGCGATCCATATGGCCGACCATAGGCATGCGATCCATAGGATCGATAACCACCAATCGGGGCATTGGGATACCACATATTCGAAGGGAAATAATTTTGACTAGGGTGAGAATTTTGGTTGTAATCCGTGGTTGGGGAATCGCACATATCACGAGAATTCCGATGATACGGATGACGATCAGGCAATGGGACATGACGATGCGAGTGGTGATGATGATCACCACCTCCACCACCACCAAACAACGGAGCCGGATGTGAGCATTGTGAGGGATGTTGTTGCTGCTGTTGCTGATGATGTGGCTGGTGCAACGAATTACTCTGATGTTGTTGCTGCTGCTGTTGTTGTGGCGTTAGGGTATGCAGGGGAGGGAAGTTATAATTAAATTGTATGGCCGACGATGATGTCGGCCTCAACATCATCTCAGCCGGATGATATTTTATATCTTCAGCATAGCTTTCCGAGGGCATGGCATTGCTGAATATCTCGTTAGCGGGAAATTCCGAATAGTCTGAGCCGACTTGAGATATATTGTCATCCAACATGGCACCGCTGTCATCACAGCCGCCATCGGTGCCATCATCGTTGTCCTGTTTCCATGCTGAGATGGCGTGCAGTTTGAGAGTATCTTCATCGCTTTTCAGATTGCCAATATCCATATTGGTAATGGTGTGCTGACCATCGAGGGTATTCATTGCAAAAATATTGATTTCATTCATAAGGGGAATGCTTTCTGGTCCCATTTCACCCTGAGAAATTGCATTTCTTCTGGACGTATTAAATTAGTTAATTAGTTACACATATGGTTTAAGACACAAGGTTTTTTTTGTGGAAATGCTGGAATGAAATCGGAAAGAAATTTAAAATTAATGAAACTCCATTTAGAGACGGCAACAAAAGGTAAAAATGTGTATCAAGGCCTACATATATGCTAATGTAAATCGGTAGTCAAATATTTGTATTAGGCTGTTATTTGCTCTATTCCAGAACCTGCAAAAATTCACTATTTTTTCAATTTTTTTGGTGAGATGAAAAAACTGCCACTAACTTCAGACTGCTGTCATTTCTAAGCCACTCGTCCGATAGCGGTTGAAGTTATCCGAGTGACAGATCATTCTATTGTTTACAAGCGTCCAAAGGCATTTTGGTGAGAATTTTCCAGAAAAAAAGTTATTAGCGATGGAAGCGTGATAGTGTGATTTCTTTATATTTGGCTGGAAAACCACAAGTGGCTTTCGTTAGAGCACTCCAGCATTTAAATGTGAATAAATCTTTTGTGTCTCGTACCATCGCTCGTTACCGTGATACTGGTACTGGTAGCGTAGACCGACGTCAAGAAAGTGGACGGAAGAAAGGTTCGAAAAGTAACGAAGCGACGCGAACCCGCGCCGCAGTGGCCGAAAAATGGCTCGTGAGGTGAACATTTCGCAATATTCCATTCGGCAAATATTGAAAAATAAGCTCGGGGTAAAGCCATTGAAATTGCAAAAAGTGCAAGAACTGACACCGCAATAGAAAGAAAATAGGCTCAAAATAGCTAAAGAGCTGCTTCGCTTGGCCAAAAATGGTGAACTGCCGAATTTGGTTTTCTCCGATGAGAAAACATTCGTTGCCCAGTTTGTAAAAAAACAAAATGATCGTGTTTAATTGCCAAAGAGGTCAGCTGAAAATGTGCCTCTTCGTTTGGCCACCAGAACTCAAGCGCCGGCCATCATGATGGATTGGGCCGCCATAACAGCCGATTGTCGCTCTCCGCTCGTATTAATCAACTTTGGCATCAGAATAAATGCCGAATATTATCGCGAAAATATTCTGGAAGGTGTATTAAAGCCTTGGGCACGCAAACATTTTAGCCGCAGATCTTTGACATTCCAACAAGACTCAACACCATCGCACTCAGCACGCGCCACCCAAGAATGGTTACAAAATGAGGTTTCTCGCTTTATTTCTAGCTCACAATGGCCACCAAAATCTCCGGATACCAATCTGTTGGACTATTGCCTCTGGAATATTTTGGAAAGCAAGGTTGGCACTAAACAATACCAAAGTGTCGATCACCTTAAACAAGCGCTTCGCCGGGAATGGGCCAAAATACCGCAGAGCAACATTCAGGCAGCGTGTAACGGTTACATTGGCCGTTTGAAGGTCATAATTCGTGTCAAAGGTGATAAATTCTAACAAATCTAAACTTATTGTAAAATTTGGCATTTCCGACATTTTTAGCTTTCATTAAAAAAAAAAAAAATTAAAAAAATTGTAAAAATTATGGCGTTTCACTTTTTTGCAGTTTTTTTTCTCACCCTGTAGTAGTAAAAACTCTTACATTCTCGCAACTCTGGAACAGACCAATTATTTCTTCGAATTTTTTGGGAAAGGCAAGAAGTGGGTGTGATTCTCATTCACTCATCACTTATCGAGCTTAATTTTCACCAAAGTCGTCATATCAAAAAGCTGAAAGAGTCAAATGCCCATCTCCTTTGCCTGGATAAAATCATGCTATCAGCAAATATTGCAAAGCTGTCAGTTTCGTTTTGAATAAAATTACTCTCTGTAATAAAGAGTAATACGAAGTTAAGCCAGTGGGGAAATTCTCCAAATTTAAGCAATCAACAAACAATAACAAAATAAACAAAAACCATTACTAATTTTGTCAAGTTGGAAGTCTATTTAATAAATAAATTTTAATATATTAAAACATTCTAAAATTTCCCGAATGAAATTTAAAAATAGCAACAACTGTAGCATTTCTCTAGCTCTCTCCTCCTCTCCAGCTATGTCTCTCTCCCTCTCTATATTTTTCTTTAAAAACTGCCCAACTGGACGCCCAACAATATATTAAGTATACGTCATTGAATAAAACAATTTCCTTGAATTCACTGATGGACATTGGAGCGTATGATTGTTGTTTTGAACAACACATAAATCATACCCTCACACACACACACAAACACATCCATCCCAAATGTACAAATTTCGATTTGATAGAATAACAATTTGTTATGGGAAATCTCTCAGCTTGCTCTGTTGTTGTGTGGGCATTTTTTCTTTAATAAATTAATATAAATAACATGTTTTTTTTTGAGACAATTAACACATTCAATATCATTACAAAGACAATTTTTGAAAAAAATAAAATATGAGATTTTTTTCGAAGAAATCATGACCTATTGGTTATGCAAATTATGGGTATTTTGAAAGTGCACTTATAGGTACCTAACATTCACAAATTTCTTAGACTACCTGCATGAATTTCAAAAAAAAAAAAAAAAATCAGATTTTGTAAAATGTATTGTTTATTAAAAAAGTATTTGTAAAATAATTCACAAATCTATTATATCTAAACTAAGGGTCAAGTCTCACGTTTAAACGTAAAGTATCAATACGGGTTTCCGACAGATTTATATCCCTTATAGCCGTATATTTAAATATGATGATATGATTAAATATTGATTTTATGATTATTTTTACTGTTGTTCCTTTATGGATGGCGTTCCAAAGAAGTGGGCCAATATTGCCCGTTTCGTATCTGATCCAAATCTGATATAAATATTACAATGTACCAGATTTGGACTATATCGACTACTTCCATCACTTTATTTGAGATGTGTAATATTTCTTGGAAAATATTGAAATGCACGTGAGGTACTAGATATAGTGGACCGAAGTATTCATATTTATGTAATACTGATGAAAATATTGGAATTACAAAATCAAACTTTTTTCCAACTTTATCAAAATTATAGTCGAAAAATGTTGGCATTTTTGTTTGGGATACCGTAGTATTTTGTTGTTGCAAAATTTAATCCAATTATTGTTGTTTTTATGAAAAGTACGTTTTTTATTAGTGGAGAAACGTGGTAATGTTTACCAAGGGGTAAGGCTGGGAATGCCTAGGATTCGGAAAGAGCCAACAATCCTCATCAGTTGTCACTTGGGTAAAAAAGTTTTTTTTGTCAAAGGAGCTATTTTAAAACAACTCCTGGGAAGAATATCCCCGACAAAAAAACAAAGAGAACTGAAACCTCTTTTCGAAACCCAGGTATTCCCTGTCTTACCCCCTGGTAAACATTACCTCCTTTCTCCACTAATAAATAAACGCTGTTTTTATAAAAACGACAATAATGGGATTAAGCCTAACAATTTTGCAAATACAAAAACATTTTTGGTGAAGTTACTGGAAGGCCTATAAATTCCATATTCATATCTAATCTTTGGTTGAGAGAAATACTGAGATATATCATGTTTGAAAATAATCGCAGACTTGTTTTGCAAATTATCGGAGACAAGAGACATTGACAATTGTAACCTTATGTGGGTGAGGTACCAGAAGCGGTAGACCGATATCAATGATCTTCACACCAGAATCCATTTTGTAATGTGTGGAGTTGAGAAAGAATCAGATGATTTTTTCATAGAGTTATAATTGCACAGTGCAACCAAAAAATATATATATGGGGAAATACAACAGATTATGCAAGCAGAGTTAAAATAAGTAAAAAAGCAGTAAGTTCGAACGGGCCGAACTTTGAATACCCTCCAACATCTGGAAGAAATTTGGAAATTAAATAAAAAAACGTTGAAAAATACTGTTATAATTTTTAAAAATATAAAAAAATATACGAAGACATACATAGTCAAAATACGCGACACAGGCTGTAATATCCATTACGAACTTCAAATACCAAATTTGCAACATTTCCGGTGAATAATGTCGCTAAAATCTTCAAATTGCCGAATATCGGGAGGTACCATTATATGGGTGCTATACCAAAACGTAGACCTACATGGCCCATTTTCAATACCAAAAGTCCTGCAGACATAATATACATTTCAGTAAAATTTTATCAACCTACTTCATTTCGTTCGGAAGCTAGAGTTTGATATCATAATCGGATATTCCCTTCGAGAGCTATCGTGTCCACAAGCCAGACAGACACCCCTAGATCGCCCTGAATGTCCTGAAATGGATGGATTTGTGGTCTAAAACCGTTATTTCGATGGGGCACGCTTTGGTCGTATCAAATGATAGATACCCTCTGTAGCCATGTGGCTGAGGGGAATAAATAACGAAAAATATATTTTTATTTTCTTAAAGCTTTTTCTATAATTTTAAGATGGTCTTTAAACAAATGTTTCTAAAATTCTACTAAGAATCCGACTTCTAAAGTTATTTTTAAAAATTAATTGTCTTGTTTTCGGACATTAAAGTTGTTTTGATTGATTTTCTTCCATTAATCTTTTTCTTTAACTTTATTTGCATTTGCCCCGATTAAAAATAACTTTTTTACGATCATTCACAAGGTACTAGTTTTTAATTAAAATTAACAAATTTCGTTTATTATTAAAATTAAATCACACAAAATCAAGCAAAAACAAATAAATAAAATATTTTATAGATTTTTAATTCAAGTTCATTTCGATTTTAAAAAATTCATGTTACCTACAAAACAAAAAAAAAAATAAATAAATAAATACAAAAACCAGTCTGCTGATTTTATGGACAAATAAAGACAAACGCCGACGACGAGGCGAATAATCAACCAACAAAAAATAACTAAAATATGAATAAGATTCATAAACAAAACTCATTTTGCCGTTACCCTTTCACCCAGAAGCGCAGCAAAAATAGTAAAATTTTGTTATTTAGTTATGAATTAATGCATATTAAATGGATAGCTACGCAGTTAACTGGTGGATAAGTTGAGCTATGAGTTAAGTAGCCGCCTGGTGGGTAGTTCGACAGCCATAGTTTATAATGCAATTAACGCCTTTTTTACTTCGTGGCCATTAAGGAGCAGCAATTTAACCTAGTCAAGGTCTGGAAGTACTACGTCATTTGGAGTGCACTCGGTTTTTTTCAATAGTATTTCAATATCTGTGTGATTGGCCGGCTGGGCAACAACAAAACTGAGTTGCCGCCGACTTGATTTATTGGTGTGATTGTTGTCGTTGCTGTCATTACTGTTTTCTATTTGTTTAAATTGCTTTAAATACAAATTTAATACACATTAACACTGTTATTAACTTCAAGTGATATTTTCTTTCTCTCGCTCTCCCACTACCACTCTCCTCAAATACAAATAAAAAATGTCAGTCATTTGCAACAAAGTGTGCTTTGGTGTTAAGTACCGGTATTTCGTATCCACCCCTGCGTTTTTGAAGTCTCCAAAAGTAAATCGACAAATAAAACAACGCACTCACTCGCACACATTTCCCTACTCCCTCTCCCCCGTCGCATTTACACAAAGTTGTTTTCATTTTACAAATGTAAAACATATTGCGCACAAATTCAATTTTGAGTACTCAAGGACAAATACAACGCACACACACACTCACTCACTCACTGAGCCATAGCAAGTGCTGATAACAATTTGATACAATGTAATGATCTCCATGCCTGTTGTAGTTCTCGTTGTTGTTTACCGTTTGGCCATAACCGTATTTGTTGTGAGAGTATTGTAATATTTATATGAAATAGAATGCAAAAACAAATAAATAAAAACTTGTTCTCACTTGCAGCTCTCCGCGAAGAGTTGGCATATTTCAAGGTCTCTCTGGCAAAACAAAACAAAACAGCTCAACTCAACTCAACATGATTATGAATATGAAGAGTCTATTATAATTTGTTATTTGCACCGATAAGAAACAAAACAAAAATGAAACAAAAGCTGTTTATGTTCGAATAGATGTGTGCGTGTGTATTTATTAATAATAGGAGAGCTATTAAATGTTTGACAATTTGTCAATTCATTAATGCATGTCAAAAGATCAATTAAATACGGATAACCAATACAAAGTCATTGTCAGAATTTCATCAATATTGAGGTGATACGCGTCAAAATATGTTATCGCTTTTGATATTGAAACAAAAGTGGACTTTTTCACAACACTACTACTCGTGACTACTTTTGCGTGTTCACCCATTGATGAAGGTCTGGAGTTTTTTTTAAGTAAACAAATGTTCAGTGGTGAAATAAATATTCCTTACATAATTTATATTCTTTATTTTTTATTATCAAACCCAGTTACTTCAACTTTTTTAGAGCCTACTGTAGCATTCGTGTTGGCCAACATTATATTTTTTTTCTTTGGTTATTATCAAATAATTTGGGTGCAAAGAGTTTTTGTTTGTCTCCAAGTGGGCGTTTTTGAAAATAGATTATTCAAAACTGTTTTGGCGGTCAATATACTATATATATATAGAACAATGTCAAGATAAGTAACTGGATGATAACCTACTTTTAGATTAAATGGGTGTCATTTTTGGTGTGTTAAGGAGGCAGGGTTTCGGTAGTTTTTTCTTTTATTAAAATGTACTAAATGTATAAACATTGCTTTAAGACACCGGGAAGAGCAGAAATTATTATCTTAGAGGGTATAAACCCTCTAAAATATTATGAAGGGCACATTAAGTTTGCCATTCCGTTTGTAACTTTTGGAAATAAGGATTTTATACCCCAGTAAGTATATAAAGGGTGACTTTTTAGGTATTATATTTTTGGCAAGTGTTTTGTTTCACTGTTAAACTTCTTCAGTTTGTTCCATAATTTAACCATGAATCGTCTTACAAACGAACAACACTTGCAAACTATTGAATTTTATGATCGAAATTTATGCTCTGTTGGGAAAGTAAAAAAAAAAAACGAAAAAGACGAAGCAAATTTTTGGCTCAATGGGTACCTAAAAATCAGAATTGTCGATTTTGGAGCGAAGATCAGCCAGAAGCATTGCAAAGGCTGACAATGTATTCTGAAAAAATCACACTTTGGTGCGGTCATAGGTTGGTGGCATCACTGGAACGTACTTCTTCAAAGATGCTGAGAATCGTAACGTCATTGTAATCCGTGAGCGCTACGTGAGATGATATCCCACTTTTTGTGGAACAAAACTCAACGAAACTCAAGTCGTCAATGTTGTGCTATAAAATCGATATTTTGATCATTTTAGCCATCTTCTCAATAAAATTGGTATTTGAAGTTCTTATTGTTCAGATCCATCCACTCTATATATCCCTTATATATAGGGTGAGATGAAAAAACTGAAACCAAATTCAGTATGCTGTCATTTCTAAGCCACTCGTCCGACAGCTGTTAAAATTGTTCCAGTGACAACTTATTATATTGTCTACAAGCGTACAAAAGCACTTTGGTGAGAATTTTCCAGAATAACAGTTATTCGTGATGGAACACAAGCGTGATAGTGTGATTTCTTTATATTTGGCTGGAAAACCTCAAGTGGCTATCGTTAGGGCACTCCAGCATTTAAATGTGAATAAATATTTTGTGTCTCGTACCATCGCTCGTTACCGTGATACTGGTAGCGTAGCCCGACGCCAAGGAAGTGGACGGAAGACGGAAGAAAACAGCAACATCAGCAGAAATGGCTCGAAAAGTAAAAAAGCGACTTGATCGATACCTGCGTCGTAGTGGCCGAAAAATGGCTGGTTAGATGAATATATCGCAATATCTTCGCTTGGCGAAAGTGATGATGAGAAAACATTCGTTGTCCAGCAGTTTGTAAACAAACAAAATGATCGTGTTTACTTGCCAAAGAGGTCAGCTGAAAATGTGCACCTTTGGTTGGACACCAAAACTCAAGCACCGGCCATGGTGATAGTGTGGGCCGCCATAACAGCCGATGGTCGCACTCCACTCGTATTAATCGACCGTGGCATCAGAACAAAAGCCGAATATGATCGCGAAAATATTCTGGAGGTTGTATTAAAGCCTTGGGCACGCAAACATATTGCCGCAGACCTTGGACATTCCAACAGGACTCAGCACCATCGCACTCAGCACACGCCACCCAAGAATGATTACAAAATGACGTTTCTCGCTTCATTTCCAGCCCAAATGGCCACCAAAATCTCCGGATACCAATCCGTTGGACTATTGTGTCGCGAGTATTTTGGATAGCAAGGTTGGCACTAAAAAATACCAAAGTGTCGATCACCTCAAGCAAGCGCTTCGCCGGGAATGGGTCAAAATACCGCAAAGCAACATTCAGGCAGCGTGTGACGGTTTCATCGGCCGTATGAAGGCCATAGTTTGTGTCAAAGGTGACCAATTCGAACAAATCTAAACTTATTCTAAAATTTGATGCTATCTTCGACATTTTTTTTGCTTTCATTCAATGAAATTAAAAAAAAAATGTAAAAATTATGACGTTTGACATTTTATTTCTGCTAACACAAGATCTGCTGAGAAGATGGAATATATGGGTCAATTCGATCTGAAACCTCCCACACAAAGGATTCAAAAATTTGAATAACAAACCGATTCTCTTTGAATTTCTCAAGTCCCAATATTTCTAGTAACACAAGATCTGGTTAGGAAGGTGGTAGATATCGGTAAACCGTTGCTAGTGCCTCCCCTAACGAAATGTTTAGAATTTTGAAAAACCATAATACTTATGAAATGCGAAGTAAATATCTGATTCTTTTATAAACTTCACACTTCCCCATATTTCCACTAACACAAAATCTGCCGTTGGAATGATGAATATCGGCACACCCCTTCCAGTACCTCGCCCAAAATGGGTCACAATTGTCCATACTTATATCTCTGATAACTTGCGAGACAAGTCAACATTTCTTTTCAAACTTAGTTTATCTAAATATTTCTTTCAACCATAGGTTTGATGCCAATATGGAATTTATTGGCCCACTCCTTCTCGAACCTCTTCCACAAAGGGCCAACGACATGGCCCATTTACGAACTTAAGCTGCCTACTGGCAAAATACACATGTGTGCAAGTTTTCGGCCTTCTATCGTTAATTTGTTTGAAAGATAGGGGGATTACAAAAGACAGACGGACAGACAGACATACGAAACATCGCTCAATACTTAACATCATAAAGTCAATTTTTTGTGAGCACCCACAAAGCAGAATCGGAACATTAGCTGTTTTTAGTCGATTAGATGAAATGTCCTACTTTAAGGGTGCCTTAAACTTGGCCATTTAATGTGCAGAAGTCAGTGCAGAGAATGAATCGTTTTTTTTTTCGGTATAGATATTGAAGCGCCGTAATTTGAGTATACTTTCTTTAATTATCTTAATCTTCTTTAAAGGTGAAACACTCACAACAATAAATAATTTGCCTGGCTCGTGCAGTGCTTAAAAAATATTTTTTAATTACCGTTTCTAAAAATTTGTACCTATTTTCAAATATCCATTACTTACCAATCTAACAATTATTTGTTGTTATTGTTTCAATTTTTTTTTTATTTAATTATACGATGACACTGAACTTGAAAATAAAAAATGCTCAACAAAAAAATCCTTGACTGGGCCTAGACGGGACTGAATGTGACGGCGGCTTTGCTCCAGACACGAATTCTTGATGTGGAAAATAACGACGACTGCATTGCAAAGCAAACTAAATCAGGTGGCGTTGTTGTTGTTGCTGCTACTGCTGCTGCTGCTGTTATTGTTTTGGTTTAATGTGTTTGGCGCTAGTTTGTATTGTATTTGTTGTAAACTATCAAGTTTTTCCGCACAGCGATTTGTGTTGTTTCTATTGTTGTTGCTGTTTTTATTGTTGTTGTGGCTGTGGCTGTAGTTGTTGTTGTTGTATTGTACAGGTGTTTACCAGAATGCCCTGAAATGAATACAAAAATAGTTGTTGTTAATGTTGTTGTTTTTTGCTGTTTTGTACACTGCAAAAACACATTCAAACAGAAATCCATGTCTGATCAAACTAAAGCGAATACCAAAATGACTCTGCCCCCTTTTGAATTCCCCTGAATAAGCTTGTATTGCATATGCATGAGACTTTGCTATGTGTATTTGTTTGCACGTATGTATATATATGTGTGAGTTCGTGGTTAAAAACTATAAACAACAAATCGGTACTATACTATTACAACAAGTATGCGCACTTTAAATGAGTAAATATTGTCGGCAAAATTCCAGGGATGGAAATATGGAATCTATATTTTTGAGTGGTATTATAACCCACTGACTGACAATTAATGCCCAAAAACAAAAGGGTTAAACCAGTATTTGGAAATTTAATATTTCTATAATGGCCTACATCATTACAGGGTGACATAAAAAACTACAACCAAGTCAAAAGCCATAATTTTTACATTTTTTTTTCTAAATTTTATTGAATGAATGCAAAGATGTCGGAAATAGCATCAGGCTTTAGAATAGGTTTAGATTTTTTCGAATTGGTGACCTTTGGAACGAATTATGGTCTCCAAACTGCCAATGAAACCATCACACGCTGCCCGAATATTGCTCTGTGGTATTTTGGCCCATTCCGGGCGAAGCACTTGCTTGAGGTAATCGACACTTTGGTATTTTTAGTGCCAAATACTCCAGACACAAAAGTCCAACGGATTGGTATCCGGAAATTTTGGTGGCCATTGTGTGCTAGAAATGAAGCGAGGAATCTCATTTTGTAATCATTCTTGGCTGGCGCGTGCTGAGTGTGATGCTGCTGAGTCCTGTTGGAATATCCAAGGTCTGCGGCCAAAAAGTTTGCGTGTCCAAGGCTTTAAAACACCCTCCAGAATATTTTCGCGACAATATTCGACATTTATTCTGATGCCATGGTCGATTAATACGAACGGAGAGCGACTGTCGGCTGTTAAGGGGGCCCACACCATCACCATGACCGGCGCTTGAGTTCGGATGGCCAACCGAAGGTGCACATTTTCAGCTGACCTCTTTGGCCAGTAAATACGATCATTTTGTTTACAAACTGCTGGAAAACGAATGTTTTCTCATCGGAGAAAACCAAATTCGGCAGTTCACCACTTTCGGCCAAGCGAAGCAACTTTTTAGCTCCTTTAAATCTATTTTCTTTCCGACCCTTTGTGTGGGAGGTACAAGAAGGAATGGTCCAATCTCTACCAACTTTATAACAGATCTTGCGTTGATGGAAATATTGAGACGTGCAAAGTCTGAATGGAATCGGATGTTATTTTCGCGTTTTATGAACTTCGTGGATACTCAAAATTTTAATCCCTTAAAAATTTTGACACCTTTGTGGTGGAGGTACTTGATGGAGTGGACCGATATTGTCCATTTTCGCACCTGACCTAGCACTGATGCAAATATTAGGATTCGAAAAGTTGAAGAAAAATCGGATAATCTTTACCCTTTCTGTGCAGTAAATTATTTTCTTTGAAAATGTCGATATTTTGTGGAGGAGGTGGCAGAAGGAGTAAACCGATATTGCCCATCTCCGAACTCGATCTATGTTTTATAATAACATTACGATGTACCAAGTTTTGATCAAACCGTCAAATAAAAAATCATATTTTACCCTTTGGCTACCATCTCGCAAATACAAACTTCCCATCTCTGGCCGGAGAGCAATTTTTGCCTCTTTTTTTTCATTCATTTCCATTCCAAACGTTTAAATGCTGTACACTGAACTCTTTTCGTGCTCCAAAGTAATTTATGCACATTGTATTTGGAATCTCTTACTATAATTTCTACAACTATTTGAAGCGATGGCCCACCCCACGATGCAGGAGGGGATGGGGAAGGCAGACGGCCGGGCGACATTAAGTGTGGCAGTGTTATTGTGACTTTTAATTGACAATTATCGAATGCCGGCCAATTGATTGGCACGGCATTTAGCGGTGTTTGGCGACAGTTGCGGTTGCTGCTGCCGCTGCTTGAAGTGGTGGTTGGAGGTGTTGGTGCCGCACAACTTTAATTGTTAACAAATAACAAATAAATTGATTTACGAATATACAATTCATTCAAAAATCGAATGTTGTTTCTGCTATTTGCGTTTTTTTTTTTTTGTTAATTTGAACTATTTGCTAAGACATAATCGTGTCTGTGTGGTTATTGTCAATTCACCGCAACGTTTATTTTATCGATTAATGAAGAGGGGTGGGGGGCGGAGGTGGTGTTGTGGGTTTTTGTTTGGAATGCTGTTTATGGGTTTTTGGCACCTATCCACCAATGAGCGAACATTCAACTCTTTCCCCGTAAATAAATTGTGCTTTATCACCCGCTCGTTCCATAATTATCCCACTTTGCGAATTCAAAATAGTTTGGCCATAGATAAATAAAAAGTCGGCGAGAAAAAAATTAACGATTAAATATATAAATAAATTAAACTAAAAATAGACATTTATTTGGACGAAAAAAAAAAACAAAAAATAAAACTATTTATAGATGCTTGATGAGGAGAGATATTCAAAATTGGATTGAATTTTGAAAAAAAAAAAATAGTTTTTGGTTTTAATCACATAAATTCCAATGAAGAAATTGAGTAGCAATTTGTTAGTTGTTTACAAAACGATAGAGTTAAGTCGTTATGGAATTAACTGCTTCAAAAAAACTATTCAGCGGAAGGGGCGATATGTTTTAATTTGAATACTTTAGAACAGCAATAGAAATACGACACGAAAGGAATAGGCAGAGCGAAATGAAACGATAGTTATTCTTAAGAAATGGAACGAAAAATATCGATTTTTTCAATTCCAGTTGCAACAATTTTCGGTAAAAATGGGGAATATATTTTGGAAATTTATATTTAGAAACAAAATTTTCTTTCATTTTCTGTTCAAATTTTTGACTAGAAATATTTGACAGATTAAGATTATTACTTTTTTTCTATTTACTTTGGGGTTGAACCGATTTTCCGATTGTGCCATGAGATTTCTGTTTTTGGTTCAAAAATTAAAAATAATATTCCTATCTCTCCATTTGACTATCCACAAGCTCCACAACTAGATCCAAACAAATTCACCGATTTTCATCAAATCTCGAACGTCTCAATGTATATATAAAGGAAGTTTTTGCTGAGGAATATCTTTATATAACAAATTTCGGCTCAGACCATGAGCATAGTAAGTTGTAAGTGGATGTGATAATATGTGTGCAGTAGGACAAACCCCCATGAAGGTTTAAGGTTTCCAGGGCCTTTTATATGTAATGGTCTCCAATATTTTACTCCATGCTTCGAAAGATTTAAAATAGAGCTTTGGCATTTGGGAGAGAACTTTGGAAGGAACTTGAAAAATGTCAAAAATTTCAATGGGGATATACGAAGACATTTTACTTGATAAGTAATTTTTTTGTCATAGGATCTAGTACCGATTCTGAAGTTTATATAGGACATTTGAAAAAATTCAGGTAAAAAATATATATAAAACAAAAAAATTAGTATCAGTCGGTTTTGCCGACAGATTTATACCCCCAGCCTTTAGTTGACCCTTTATGGGGGAGCTTCCGGGTTTGGCATTTTGGAATTTGGCCAATATTGACCAATTCGTATCTGACCTAAAACTGAGTTGGATGCTTACTTCGCTTTCTTTGACCGTTTTGTTTTACAAAAGTATGTGGGTGAGGTGCCCGAAGGAGTGGACCGATATATCCCAATTTCACACCAGAACCTGGGTTAATAAAAATAAAGTGATGTGTGCACTTTGAAGAGAACCGGATGTTTATTTTATGATCGTTTTGGCTATTCACAACTTTGACCCTTTGTGGGGGAGATACCAGAAGGAATGGAATACCATACCATATCTGAATGGAATCGGATCTTAATTTCGTGTTTTATGAGTTTCATGAATATTCAAATTTTTTACCCTTTGTGGGGAGGTACCAGAAAGAGTGCGCCGATATATTCCATCTTCACACCAGACCTTGGGTTAATAAAAATATTGTTATGTGCGTAATTTGGACAACCGGACACTTTTCATCACATTTTATAAGAGTTGTAATTGTTCAAATTTTTGACCCTTTGAGGGTACCTCTCCTCCTGACCGATACTGTCCATTTTCGCACCTAACCTAGCACTAATGCAAATATTGGGATTCGCAAAGTTCGGGCAAACTCGGATAATCCTTTCTTTTTCTGTGCAATAAATTATTTTCTTGACAATTTTGACATTTTGTTTGGAACGTACCAGAAGGAGTGGACCGATATTGCCCATCTCCGAACTCGATCTAAGTTTGACAATAATATTACGATGTACCGAGTTTGGATCAAATCAGATACTCCCTTCGAGAGTTATCGTGCGCTAGATTGACTCCAAATGTCCTGAAACGGATTTGGACCAAAGAGGCCTAGGGTCTAAGGCATGTTTTTTACCAAATCTAGCCATATGCCAGAGGGTATACACATCAAAATACCGATTATTGGGAGGTTTCGTTATATGGGGGCTATTCGAAGACGTGGAGTTGTATACGCGATTTTTTGTTATCGTCTGTTGTACTCGTTATGAGCCTCAGGGGGTAAAGTAGTACTCAGAAGGAACTCCTTTTGTGGATTTTTAGACAATTCCATTGAAAAATTTTGTCTACAATCATCAAAAATATAGGGGGGTACCGTTATGCGGGGGCTATACGGTATCGTGGTCTGATGTAACCCATCTTCGAACTTGACCTGCTCGCAGGCTTCCTATTTTTATTCGTTTTGAATCTAGCGTGAGTACAACGGACGGACAGAGGGACAGGGCTAAATCGTTTAGAATATACTTTGCTATGTTTAAAATTATTATTTCGTTATTTCGGAATGACGAACTTAATATACCCTCCATACTATGTATGCTGGAGGGTATAAAAATTAATGTGAGAATACAAAACCTCATTGATGTTAGCTCTTCAGGTATGCCAAGGAGGT